ATCTAACATCACTTTCTCATCTATTCAGAGGTCAAAGCACTAAGCTAACGCTCTCAAGAATTCCATCTTTTTAAAAATTTTTATTGCAAGGTCAGATATGTAGAGAGCAGGAGAGACAGAGAGGAAGATCTTCCGTCCAATTATTCACTCCCCAAGTGACCACAATGGCCAGTGCTGCACTGAGCTGAAGCCAGGAGCCAGGAGCTTCCTCCAGGTCTCCCACACGGGTACAGAAACCCAAGGCTTTGGGCTGTCCTCCACTGCTTTCCCAGGCCACAAACAGGGATCTGGATGGGAAGTGGAGCTGCCAGGATTAGAACTGGCATCTATATGGGATTCCGGCATGTTCAAGGCGAGGACTTTAGCCATTAGGCCATGGTGCTGGACCCAGGAATTCACTTTAAGTTAAGCATCCTGTGTCACTTGGACAACCATGGAGCTATTGTATGTAGGACAAAGCCACGGGCTCTTAGAGAAAACCATCATGAACCTTCTGGGAGAAGAAACATGCACAAGATGCAAACATCTGTGCAGGAAGTGGAACTGCTTTGCAAAACGAGATAAATAGGATTTCTCTAAGGACTTGGTTTTCCTGATTACCTACACTGCAAGGTTTGATAGGACTTCAGTCACAGGAGCCTGCGGACCCTCTTCTTCTCACTCTGCTAAGTAGGCAGGTTCTTTTCACTTTGCAACTGGCAGGAGTCTGTGGGGCTCAATTCACTTGGCAGTCCACCTGTAAAGTGCCAGGGTTTCCTAACAACACTTTTTAACGACTACAGATGCCACAGTGACTGGTCTTACCACCAGAGGCCTGATTTGACTGCAGGGTTCCCCATCCCAAAGGTTCAGGGAATGTAGCATTTCTCTAGCTCTAAAAGATAAATGTGGATATGTTTTACTTGTTCCTAGAAATTTTATTTTATTGTTCCAGTGAATGGTTTTAGACATAAAATCAATTGTTAGCCAACAGTCTTGAGGGGAAGTCTACAGGGAACTTCTGAGAAAGGTCTAATTTAAATGCCTCCTTTCCATCAGATGTTGTGTAATTATTTGTAGATACTGAGAAGTATGAAAAACATCTGGCAATTATGAGGCGACAATCTTAAGGACCAGATCATTAATTAAAGCTGGTAGAGGATAAAGATGGGCACATCAAAGTCTGGTTACATCACCACAAAGCAAATGATAAATGGTTCAACTTCCTTTTTTCTTTTAAAGATTTACTTATTTTTATTGGAAAGGCAGATAAGAATTTTGGAGAGAAGATGGGACAGAGAGACAGCTGGTTCACTCCCAAAATGGCTACAATGGCCAAACTGAGCCGATCTGAAGCCAGGAGCCAGCAGCTTCTTCCAGGTCTTCCATGTGGATGCAGGGTCCCAAGACTTTGGCCCATTCTCTACTGTCTTCCCAGGCCACAGCCAGGAAGCTGGATGTAAGTGGAGCAACCAGGACATGAACTGGTGTCTATATGGGATCTGACACTTGCAAGGTGAGGGAGTAGCCATTGAACTTTGTGCTAGGCCTGGTTCAACTTTCTTTATTAGTTTTATTCATTTATTTAAGAGATAGGACCAGCACAGTGGCTCAACAGATTAATTTTCCACCATGCAGTGCAAGCATCCCATATGAATACCAGTTTATATCATGGCTGCTCCATTCCTATCCAGTACCCTGCTTACAGCCTAGGAAGGCAGTGGAGGATGGCTCAAGTACTTGGGGACACTGCTACCACATGGGAAATCTGGATGGAGCTCTAGACTCCTGGCTTTAGCTTGGGCAAACCCCAACCATCACAGCTACTTGGGGAGTGAACCAATAGATGGAAGGTCCATCTCTGTAATTCTGCCTTTCAAATAAGCAATACATTTTCAATCAGTCAATAAAACTTGGTGTGTCGGGCTGGATATGTTTGATTTGTCTCTGAAGGTCCATTCTTCAGCTTCTCCATCCTACTCTCTGATCTCTTACTTTTTCACTTCTACAGGTTCGGTTGATGGGGAGCCCTTGCAAGAGACTGGGAATGGGATCGGGGCTGGGGGGCGGGGAGACTGAGGGCATGTGTTTTTTGTTTCTTGTTTTTTTCTGAGCCGTGTCCTTCTGACTTAAGGCTACTGCTCATTTTTGAAGGTGCTTTCTCTGCCCTTCCAGGATCTAGAACTGTTTTCTTCCTCTTTGGGAACCAAATCCAAACAGCCCTGCTGATAGGAATCCCTTAATTCTGTTATACAGTCACACTTTGGTAAAGAGTCCCTTTATCAAAACCCCCTCAAATAATCCTGGCCTGGATGTGGGCAGTTAGCCCAACGGTTAAGATGTTTCCTGAAGCTCCCCGCTCCCATCTTGGAGTGCCTCGGCTTGCCAACTGCCTTGGGCTCCTGAGCCCAGCTTCCTGCCAGGGAAGACCCTGGGAATGGGCAGTGACAGCTCATGAGAGACCTGTATGGGGTTTCTGGCTCCCGACTTACTGGCCCAATCCCAGCATTGAGGGTATTATGGGAGCAAACCAGGTGGGAGGAGATCTCTTTGTATTTCAAATAAACAAATATTTAAAAAATATCTGAACCTGAGTATGTTCTTTCTTGTTGAGATCTTTGTTGATGTAGGTTTCCTACTACTTGCAGGCAAAAGCAATTCAGTTAATATTCCTGGCACTTCAGTGCTTAAAACTCAGGAAATACCACGAGAGAGGAAAACCCACGTTTCTAATAGTGGGTGGTGGGAGGCAGTGGTTGATCTGAAGGAGGAAGAAATAAAGAGCACATACACGTATTTATTTCCTGGAGAGCCCCGGAGGAAGGAGACAAGACTAAATCTGAAGAACCCTTGGTCACTCATCATGTGCATCTACACGTATCCTGTGGTACAGAGCCCTTGATTTTTGTTTTACAGGGTCAGAAATGGAAGGCAGGTCCTCCAGGTTGCCGTGAGGGTTCAGTGAACCAGGGATGGAAACCAGATCTACGGACTTTAATTTTGTGGATTTTCCTCTTTCCAGTGCTTGCCCTTTCCTCCACAAATCAAGCCCAGGAAATCACAAAGGAATGAGACAAGCAAGGGCAAGAGGAAGAGGAAGGGTGACTGTTAGGATTCTGCTTTTCCTATCCTCATTTATGACGTTTCTGAAATTTCTCTAACATTTAAGAAAAATCACACATGATTTAAAAAAAAAATCCAAACAGCTTGCAGTAGCCTGGGATTCCAGAATAAATACTGAAATTGGCAGGACACATAGTATCCTTCCTCTCAGTGGGTCACGTGAGGACACTGCCTAACATCCACCATGTGTGTATTTGGAGAGACAATAGTTATGTCCCCACAAACCCTTGCATGTCTCTTGTGCCAGAAGGAACTGCTGTGTCCTACCTTCTGATCCAATCCAAAATGTCATCAAAATCTGTCTCCAAAGACCTGTACATTTTTTTGTTTTTGGACAGAGGAGTGTCCTCCCAGCCTCCTAAGAGAATGGCTCCAATGAAGTCATGCCAAATGCTGAGTAAATGGGAGTGTTTTTTTTTTTTTTAAGTGGAAACTGTAATGCTATGCTGTGGCCACATTTTCACAATACTTCGGGGGTGGGGAGGGCTGTTCTGCTCCCGGGATAGGCTGGAAGGTTACTTAACATTTTGTTCAGAGGAAACACGTCTCAGATGCAAGAGTCAAGACCCAAGTCATGAGACCCACTGCAGTCAAACCCTGGCACCGGTCCCAAGTGCTTCCACACAGCTGTGCCTGTACCCAAACAAAACGACCTAGAACAAGCCTACAGGGAAAAAAATGAAGCAAAATCTAGCAATCTTCGGAATTTCAGCACGTGGCATTTCAGGAAGCTGATCCTTGAGTTGTTTTATTTCTAAACTTGTCCCAAGTGCAGCTGAAGGTGGTAGCTCTCAACATCAAAGGGGTAATAAGGCAGAGGAATTACTTACTCATTTTATAGCCAATTATTACTGAGAGCAACTGGGTCTTATATTGATACAGGAAGCTGTTAAAGAACTAGTACTGGGCGGAGAGGCAGACTGCAGGACAATTTTTGTGGAAAAACATGTAATAGATTAAAACACAGCAAAATAAGTAAAATAATGCTAACTGTGGTTTGTAGGTATACAGCTTTTATGTTATTTTTTCCTTTTGTAACCTTCTATATTTTTGCAAATACAGAAAAAATGTAAAAAATGTAAAAAAATGGATTAAAACATTTTTCAAAAAGAAAAATAAGAAAGCTATGTTTGGAAGCGCCTTCATATCTTAAGTTAGTTCGAAACATCCTAAGAAAGAGCTGGGAACAGTGCTGTGGCACAGCAGGTAAAACTACTAGTTACAGTACCAGAATCTGATGTGAGCACCTGTTCAAGTCCTAGCTGCTCTATTTTGGTCTAGATTCTCATTAATGATGTGGAAAGGCAGCACAAGATGGTCCAGGTGCTTGGGCTCTGCTACCTGCATGGGAGACTGGGAAGAAATTCCTGGCTCCTGGCTCCTGGATTTAGACTGGCTTAGCTCCAGGTGTTGTGGCCATTTGGGGAGGGAATCAGTGGATGGAAGATTCTCTCTCTCTCTCTGTAACTCTACCTTTCAAACAAACAAATGAATTAAAAAAAAAAAAGAATTTTTTTTTTTAAAAAGTTCTTCTAGAATCTCAGCTAAACTGTACATTATCTTGGGGATAATGACATCCATTTTGATAAGACAGCTGGACTTCACCTCACAAAGATGCTGAAGAGTGCTTATTGAAATCAAGAACCAAAATAAGGGCACAGTATTTCCATTCTTTAATTTTGTCAATTTGAGAGATTAAATGCCTAATATCTTCCATGAAAATCTTAAATGCTTATTTTTGAAAAATAGGATTAATAGAGAAAGAAATCTTTTTTTTCAAAAAGTATCATCACTTAGAAATCAGGCTGAGAATTAGCTGCGAAGAAGTGTATTTCATACACACACACACACACACGTCTGAAGGAGGGAGAATCCAAGAAAATCACGTCAGGACTCACCTTGCCAGCAAGATCCCTTGATATTCTTCCAGTTGTCTCATGAAGCTGGGGTTGGGTTTGGTCACTGTTCGTCTTTCCTTTACGTAGTCATAGGCTCGGTCCAGATTCCAGCCATATTCCTTCATTGCATAGGCAATTACAGTGGAGGCTGAGCGACTCACCCCCATCTTACAGTGTACAAGACATTTAGATCCATGTTTCCTAGTTTACAAAATTGAGGTAAAGGAAAGAGAACAACAGTGAGTACATTTTAAAAGCCTGCTTCTAGATTTTTCTATGTCTCCTTGCTTACCCTTCCATTTTCTTGCTATGTAATTCTTCCACCTGCTACACTTTTGCAAGTCTATAATCAAATGTGTGGGTAGGACAGGCAGCTCTAGTGTAATTTTAAATACTATTCAACGTTAATAATAACTTTCTTTAATTCATTCAGGAAACATTTGCCAAAAATTTATCATGTGTTAGACAATGTGCAAGGTGCTGGGCTGCAAACCTAAGTAACATACAGTCTTTTATCTTTAAAGGACAGGATTCAATGGGAGAAAAAGAAAAGCTTTCCAAATGGTGCGAATGATGACAGGCACAGAGGGAACACTCATGGATTTAGGGACTGGAGTGTGTGACAGAGGTCAATCTCCTCAAAGCCTCAGGGGGCATGCTTCACGGCAGGTACTCCCACGGGGTACACGTGTGGCAGGCATTCATCTAATTTATTCAAACAGCATGAGTTATTTCCAGTTTAAAATCCAAGAAGGGTTCTGGCTCTGCAGGAGAGCACAAAGCAAATGGAACCAGCCTTTCTCTCTGCTTCCCCAAAAGCTCTTGGTATCGCTGTCCATGACAGCCTGTCCAGGGCTGCATGGGATGCATCACTCAGCTTTCTTGGTGGTGAGGGATAAATGAGAATTACCTTTTTGCTCTTTTTATTTTTTAACAGGAGAAAATTAAGTTATCATAAGGGTATACCAACAAATTATCCCTGTCTTAACATGTTTAGCATGTCAGAACTTACTACTTGGATAAGACTATTATTTGGTTACACCAATTTCTTCTAGTAGCATATTACCATATTTGGCACACAGTAACCTTCAAATATTTTTCAAATGTGCAAACAAGTGTGGGGATCTACTGATCAGATTTGCCAGCTGTTTAAGTAGGTGCATTTTAATATCTGGGAAAAAAAGATTATTACTTGTCACTCATGCACGTGGAATCTATCCCAAGTGTCTATTCTAATAAGTCAACTATATACCTATGAACCTAAAGGGAGACAACTACTCATTCACTCATTCACTCACTCACTCATTCACTCACTCACCTGAAGGAGGTAGAAAAGCCCTTTTCCAGAAACTTACAAAACTGCCTCTGGAAACAGAGCCAGAGCCACATGAAAGAGTTAAGCATCGATGCAAGGAGGTATGCAGTCAGGTGCCAAAATGAGGGAGCCAGATAAGTTACAGGAATGCAGAAAATGTTCCAGAATAATTGAAACAGTCTCAAAGGTAAGATTAACCTTCTACTAGCTAATCAGGAACAAAATTTTGGGGTCTCAAGATTGGTGCAAGGCTGTGTCAATGTGCTTATGTTATTCAAAATGACAAGGAAATACTGGTTTCACTTATGGCAACATTTAGGCTTACAGATAGGAAACCAATGCACAGTGAGTAACTCGGAAGATTAGATACATGCTCTGTATTTCCTCATCAAACTCTGACAACTTTAATGCATCAATTTCAGGCCCATGGAAAGTAACCAAACTTGGACAGAGTCGAGTAAAAGACAACTATAAAATCCATTTCTACGAACACATCTGTTTGGCACATTTTCAACTGGGCTTTTTCAGTGGTTAGACTCAACTTACGTAATGAAGGATATGAACTCAGTTCCCATCATCCCAGTCCTATTCTCTGGAACTGCTCTCTACCCAATATCAAACATCTAGATTAAGCACAGCATCCCATTAGGAATTGGGATCCTGATTCGGGTGAGACAGAGGGCACACTCAGGAGAGGAATTCTCTCAGGCAGAAAAGCAGGTGCCTCCATTTGTGCCCTGGAAGCCCCTGGAATCTTTCCCTTACCCCAGCTGGAATTAGGCCTTTTCACTGGGACAGGGGCTTCGCTTTGCATGTTAGCTTCTGTGGCTGAGATTCCAACTACTTGCCTAGTCTTTTTTTGTTGTTGTTGTTAAAAATTTATTCATTTTTAATGGAAAGTCAGATTTACAGAGAGGAGGAGACACACAGAGAAAGGTTTTCCATCCATTGGTTCACTCCCTAAGTAGCCACAATGGCTGCAGCTGAGCCAATCTGAAGCCAGGAGCTTCCTCCAGGTCCCTAAGGATCCCAAGGCCTTAGGCCATCCTCGACTGATTTCCCAGGTCTTAAGCAGGGAGCTGGATGGGAAGCAGGGCTGCTGGGATTAGAACCAGTGCCCCTGTGGGATCCCAGTACGTGCTAGGCAAGGACTTTAGCCACTAGGCTACCACGTGGGGCCCAGGAAGGTTCTTTTGAGAGGTGTGGAATCATTCTTAAAGGAGACTTTAATTTTGTTACAAAGACCAATTTATTTAAGGAAGACATCATAAGGGCCATACTGTACTATAAAAATAAAAGGAATCAAAGAACAGGAAAGGCTTCTAAAGCTCATTGTATTTCTCCCCTTATCTTCAGTGGGGAAGACAAGCATTCTTTTTTTTTTTTTTTTTAGAGGCCATTGCTACAACACTGTACTTACCAGCACAAATATAATCCTGCTATCGGCACTGTTACAGTGTTGCAATTTACCAGGCTGTTTAGAACATTAGACAGACAATGCTATTTCATCTGCTTTTGCTTTCAAAAGACAACCTACCAAGGTCCAAGTGTTTGTAACACACACAAATTGCAAACAGACCTTTAACAACCAGACTGCCAACAACATGGCCAAGCCATAAACAAGTAAAAAAAATCACAAGTTGTGGGTGTAGGAAACCAAAGCCCATCTCCAGGAGAATGTAATGGCCCTTTTTCAGCTCCCAGTCCCCCTTGCTCACTGCCAAATAGAGAAGGAATGTTCAGTGATACCTGTGGAAGGCACTGCAACTTTCTAGATCATGTCCAAACATAGCAGACAGAAATCTAGTCACAGATCCCCTAAGCAGAAGTGTAAAATAGTGGTCTAGATGATGCCCAGGGTCAGCTTGGGTTGCTATTTGTAATGTCATTATTGAAAATATTCATTAGCTTCATCTGCAAGTACAGTGGCCCTGTCCTTCGGTGTCCCTCAGGATTCATTCCTCATCTGCATGTACAGTGGCCTTATCCACGGATGTCCCTAGGCAGTAATTCCATACCCCCAAGACCGCAGAGCTCGCTGCTGAGCAGCCAGCGGGTAGAGCCCAGCACTAGCTGGTGCTCTGGCCGCTTACAAGCCTAGGACCTTCCCCCACCATGTGGCCAGGAGAGTCAAGACAAGTATTCTCATCTGAGAGAATTTCTACTCTGCCTTCAAAATCTTCTCATTGGCAATTTGAGAAGCATTTCATTCATAAATTCTTCTATTTTTCATTTCTATTTCTTTTGTTGCAGTGTTAAGTCTATCTTACTTATTCTTCTTCTTCTTATTGCTAATGGAAACTATCAATATGAAGCTACTTTCTCCTAGAGATTCCATTTACTTAAAGGAAAAACATTAAATCACTAAAAAGAAAAGAAAACTCATAGGCCAGTATCTCATAGGCCAGTATTTTTATTTCCTGAGCACCAGCTGTAAGTTATCTGCAGCCCTCATAGACCCAGCCATGTGTGGCACAGGAGGAAGTTTGTTAGAGCATGAATGTGGGATTACCACTCACTTTGCTTTAGAGATGAATTTGTAAGTGTCATTCCAGTAAGCCAGGAGGTCTGTTGCCTCTTCATCATACACCCGGATGTTGTGATATTCAAAGACTCCTGGGAAGAAGTTATCTATTTCTCGAGTGACATTCAAGATATACCGTACCCTGTGAGGAAATCAAGAGAGAACATGTGTACAATCCAATCTACTCAGGCAAAATCCAATTTCCAGCACTATTTTTGTTACCTAAAATTGGCCTAATAGCTGCACTTTCAGACCAGAGATGGTCTCCCCAAGAAACTGTTGAATTTATCTGGACAATAAGATTCTGGACTCTATGCATGGTACATGCTTGCAATGAAGGAACCATGACTGGATTTGAATGGTACTACTGCAACAATGTGGAAGAATCCATAATGTGGGGGAAGGGCATAGGGAGGGGATGGAGGAATCCCAGAGCTTATGAAACTGTGCATAAAACGAAATTAAATAAATGAAAAAAAATTGGCTTAATGCACATGCTGAAGTGAAACACACAAAAAAATGATGATGAAAGCTCAAAAAGAGGAGGCTACATTTATATAGTAGAGAAACTGAGTCCTTGTCTGGGCATACCTGGGCACAGTTATATCCCATGTTCAACATCTGAATATTATTTCAGATTATGTAGAGTTACACAGCCTTATCAATATGATATAAACTTCATATTTTACTCTGAAAAATCGATCTGTGGCCCATAATCTGACAACTTCAGTTACTAAAATAACCAGCAATTTGTTATTTGGAAGTCATTTGTATGAAGTCATTCTTCTGAAACCTCAATATAAAGACAAGGAAGAGAATTTATTCCTATTTTACTTTTTTCTGGTAGTGAGCAAAGAGATTTATTGAACAGAAAAACAGAGAAAACAGTGGAAGTGGTGTCTTAAGCACAATTTTGATGAACAGAGCAAAACTAACAGTCACAGAGTGGGGACACAAGACTTAAAAGACCAGAATTGTAATCCTGTCTAGCTGTTCAAAACAAAAAGCCATCAAAGGTGCCAGCACAATGGCGCAGTTGGCTGATCTCTACCTGTAAGCACCAGCACCTAACTGGGTGCTGTTTCATGTCCCAGCTGCTCCACTTTCCAACCGGATCCCTGATTTTGGCCAGAGAAAGCTTCAGGAAGATGGCCCAAGTTTTTGGGACCCTGTACCCTTGTGGGAGATCTAGAGGAGGCTCCTTGCTCCAGACTTCCGATCACCTCAGCTCTGGTCATTGTGGCTATTTGGGGAGTGAACCAACAGATGGAAAAATCTTTCCCACTCTCCTCCTCTCTGTAAAATCTACTTTTCCAATTAAAAAATAAAAAAAGCTGAGTCCAGTGCGGTAGCTTAACAGCTAAAGTCCTTGCCTTACATACACCAGGATCCCATGTGGGCGCCAGTTCTAATCCTGGCTTCTCTGCTTCCCATCCAGCTCCCTGCTTGTGGCCTGGAAAAGCAGTGGAGGGCAGCCCAAAGCCTTGAGACCCTGCACCCATGTGGGAGACCTGGAAGAGGCTCTGGACTCCTGGCTTTGGATTGGCACAGCTCTGGCCATTGTGGACACTTGAGGAGTAAATCATCAGATGGAATATGTTTCTCTCTCTCTCTCCTCCTCTCTGTATATCTATCTGACTTTCCAATACAAATAAAAAATTAATCTTCAAAAATAAAAAGCCATAATAAGGGTGTGATTTCAGAAGGGTGTGACTGGTAATTTCTTCTGAACGCCAGATTGTTAGACTTTGCTCTATTATTCCGTTTAAACTACACAACAGGCAAATGAGGCCAAGGCTCAACTGGTCAGAGACTGTTGGACTTAAACCTTCCTCAACTCCATCTGGCTGCATTCTTGGCTGTAGCATTCCTGACTGGTGTAGCCAAAGGTCCTCTCCTACTGATATGCTAACAGAAAAGGGTTTCTCTTTCAAAAGTTTCTTCTTTTTCTCATTATCTAATCAATCAATAAATGCTTAAACTCACTTTATTAAAGGTTATCATCTCTCAGCGTTGTGCAGCCTTAGGTATCGCTGGAGTTTACTCCAACAGCAGAATATAGATTCACTATTTTTCTTTCTGCAGAAGCTGCTTCCTACTTAGAAACAAATGTAAGATTCCAGAAACTCAATCCATGAAGTCAAAGAAATGAGTACAGCAAGCAGGAATCATAGCTAATCGAAGTTAAACTGAAGTGGCTCATTTTTTTTCTGGGATATGAACTGAATCTGCTTTAAACTGACAAAAAATAAACTGGCATCAAAGTTCAATTCCAAAAAAGAACTGTATTTTTTCATTTATAAAGCAAGGAAACAGTAGGAATGCAAAATGGTGTGACTGCTGCAGAAAACAGTCTAGCAGATTCCCAAAAACTTAGTCATAAGGTTACTGTATGACTCAAAAATCCCTTCCTTAAGTATAAATTAAGGATAAATGAAAATGCAGTCCACTCAAAAACTTGTGTAGGAAAAAACCACAGCAGCCTTATCTGTAACAGCCAAAAAACAGCCTTTACAGCTGATGGGCATTAGTTGTTTTTATAGGATAGGGGGAGAAAGGGAAAGGAAATGACTGCTAAAGGGTACGGGCTTTCTCTTTGGGTTGAAAAAAAAGTTTAAAATTGTTTGTGGTAATAACTGCACAATGCTGTGAATATGCTAAAAATGACTGAACTGTGTATCTTAAATGGCTGAGCTGTACAGAATCTGAATGATACTTCAACACAACTGTCAGAAAGAGGCAAGCATACTCCCTTGTTTAGTTTCAAATAAAGATGAACAGCTTTTCACTTCAGTCCTTGGCCTTGGTAATGCTGTTCTCTAGATGCCTAAGCCTTTTCATTTCAGAGCTGTAAAGCAGCACCTGCTCACTGAGACTGACAATCTTTGAAACTTCTTTGCCGTCTTACTATGAAGTGGTGACTACATGGAACAGCTTTGTACTTGGAATAAAACTATAAAGCCAACAGATGGGGTGAATGTGGCCCTACTGTCAAAGTCACACTTGAAAATTCCAGAAATTATACACATGGAATTGAACATACAGCTTCATGTATGTACTGCTGAACATCTTTGATTCTTCATGTGTTAAAGTTTTTATGAACCACCCTGAACTTACGAAACATGATCCAAGCAGATGATTGGGCATCTCAGCGTAAGTATTTTAAGGCAGCTGGACAGAGTTACATTTTATAGGTTAACCTTATAGGACACAAATGAGATACATGGGTTATGTTTTAAAGTCAGAGTGTATATGTATACAATGTGGTTACAATGCATGTTACAAAAATTGCTATATTATTATTAATGTTTTTTGCACTGCTATATTAAAACTCACTCTTCATATTAAACACTGGTTTAGGTTTAATTTTTAATGGTTGAGGACTGATTGGCTTTGCCCAGTCTTGGATGTTGTGGCTATTTTGGGGGAGTAAACCAGTGGATGGTAACTGTTTCTGTGTTACCCTCTGTCACTCTGTCTTTCAAATAAATACATAATTTTTTAAAAGGTCAAGGATTTACATAGCTGTCAAAATTTCTGCTCCACTCTCAATTTTTAAAAGATTTATTGATTTGAAAAGGCAAAGTTACAGAGGGAAGAGGGAGAGATCTAACTCATCTTAAAGTGCCAGTGGACAACTGCTGGGGCTTGGGCCAGACTGAAGCCAGGACCCAGGCACTTCATCTAAGTCTCCCACATGGATGCAGAGATCTAAGCACTGCTCTGCTTTGCTGCTTTCGCAGGTATATTAGCAGGGAGTTCAATTGGAAGTGGAGCAGCTGAAACTCAAATCACAGACGGTTGATTCATCACCTTCGCCATAACACCAAGCCATTAAAGAAATCTTAAACAGATTCCTGTATATGTAGCAGACAGGATATTAATATTTGGTTGAATCAGGGGCCCTCACCCTTTTGGGGGCTGTTTCAAGGATCTTAATCAGTAAGTAATTTATGTAGATTTAGGCTTTCTAAGCACAAACAGGGAAACTGACAGATATATCATTAGGATTAGAAGCCAGGTCTTTCAGTTCCAGGCTGCTTTACAAAATTGATTTTCTGGGCCTGGTACGGTAGCCCAGTGGCTAAAGTCCTCACTTTGCATGCGCCGGGAACCCATATGGATGCTGGTTTGTTTCCCGGCTGCCTCACTTCCCTTCCAGCTCTCTGCTTGTGGCCTGGGAAAGCAGTCAAGGATGGCCCAAAGCCTTGGGGCCCTGCACCCACGTGGGAGACCTGGAAGAGGCTCTGGGCTCCTGGCTTAGTATTGGCTTAGCTCGGGCAGTTGCAGCTACTTGGGGAGTGAATCATTAGATAGAAGATCTCTGTCTCTCCTCATCTTCGCATATCTGCCTTTCCAATAAAAATAAATAAATCTTAAAAAAAAAGAAAAAAAGGGGAAATTGATTTATTTCCTGTGAATGGCTAGTACATAGCACTGTGCTTACCCCACCAAAGATACTCAGTAAATGTTGAATGAAAAGCCCTGTGAACCCAACATGTAATTCTATGAATGCTGACATATAAGCAGAAGCCAAAAATTACATTTGATGATGAACAGCACTAAAGGTACGCACAAATGTTTTTGAAAGCCCATCCATTAAAGCAGCTGATCCTTCTTGGGAGGTAGGGGTTGGGCAGTGAGAAAATAGTTGTTTAAATTTTTATTAATTACACTTGATTATACTCAATTGGAAGCAACTCAAAAGATTACAGTTCTCCACTAATATTCCCTTGTGGGAAACTTAAAGCAGGGACTCTTGTCACTCTAACAGAGCATGTGTATGCACTTACCCTCGGTTCTGTAAGTCTTCTAGGTTTGAGGCATTCCACTCTGAGCCCTGTGGAATCAAAAAGACAAAGTCAGGAAGAAACTAGCAAGCCACTCAAATGTAATACTGGAAAAGCAGTCTTTTGAGGGAAGAAGCAGTTTCTTTTTAGAAACAGCCAGTACCATGTACCCAGTGTCCTTTAAGTGTCAGGCACTTCATATGCTATCACATTTAGCTTTCACAAATGGCAGACTGGGACAGCTATCTTCAAGGGCCAGTGCTGAGCTACAGCAAGTTAAGCTGCTGCCTGAGATGCCAGCCTCTCCAAGCTGCTCCATTTCTGATCCAGCTCCCAGGTGCTACCTCTGGGAAAGTAGCAGAGGTTATTCTAAGTACTTGGGCCCCTGGCACTCACACGGGAGGTCTTGATGGAGTTCCAGGCTCCTGGTCTTGGCCTGGCTCGGTCTTGGCTGTAGTGGCCATTTGGGGAGTGAATTATCAATTGAGGATCTCTCTGTCCCCTGCCTCTCTCTCTCTCTAACTCTTCCTTTCAGATAAATCTCTTAAAAACTATCTTCATTTTCTTAGACAAGAAAACCAATATTGATAGAAATCAAATAATTTTTGCTTAAAATCCAAAAGCAGCAGATGGCTTGGATTATCATCCAATCTAAAATATTTTCTATTATTCTCACCTATAGTAATCTGATTACTAGAGCCTAGTGGTCACCTATACAGCATCTATGCTAATTCGTAATGTGACATTCCTAATTCTTGGTGCTCCAAAAACTCATCTATTTTACTAACAGAATAGATTCAGTATTATTATATCAGTAAGACTGCCAACAATAAACTCATTAAGTTCAAATTTTATCTGTATTTTCCTCATTCTATCTCCCTTAGCAATATAATTAAAGGATCATGCTTAGAAATTATTTGAATTAATATTTCTTTCTGTGAGATTATGAATGTGATGTGCATTTGGGTCAAATCTGCCCATTTGCACTCAATTTTAAAATATGCTTTTTCCATTCTTTTCTATTCAACTTGAATATGCAAAATTTCTACATGGTTACAAGTTTTAGGCTCACCTTTATCTCATCAATTCCCATGGGTAACCATTTCCAAGAATTTCAGTTTTATTAAGCTGTATTTTGAAAAGAAAAAAAAATCTGCAAAAATGTACTTACTGACACTTCCAATTACATTACCACTTCTTATACACAAAGTAGTATGGTACATAGTTCTCTTTGCTTTCTTCACTTTAAAATTTATTAATTTAAAGATTTATCTATATTTGTGAAAAGCCAGAATTATAGAGAGAGAGAGAGAGAGAGAAAGAGAGAGAGAGAGAGAGAGAGAGAGAGAGAGAGAGAGAGAGAGAGAGAGAGAAACAGAGAGAGAGAGAGCAGGGAGCTGCACCGGAAGTGTAGCAAATGGGACATGAACTGGTGCCCCTCTGGGATGCCTGTGCCATAGGTGGAGGATTATTTCACTATACCACTGTGCCAGCTTTTGCAACGTATCTTTAAAATGATTCCATAGACTATTTCATAGAGATCTTCCTCATTTTTGTCTTATATTTGTACAGTACTTGACTGGGCAGTGATACATACTGGCTTAAACAGTCTCCTATGGATGCATGTTTCCGTATTTATAGAGGTTGAACTGCTGGGCCAAAGGCTAAATGCAGTTTTTTTAGACACTGCTAAATCCCACTCAGCAGGGCTTGAGGTAAGTCTGCATTCCTATCAGCAAATGCATTAGAGTAGCACTTTCTCCACAGCCTTGCCAACAAAAGGTGTGGCTAAACTTCTGAAATTTTGTCGGAGAAGAAACATTATTTCAGCTTGGTTTCAATCTGTATTTCTCCTATGAGTAAAAGTGAGCGATCTTTCAATGTTTTGGTCCATTTTTTATCTTTGTGCTGTCTCTATCTTTTGAGAAGGCAAATAATTAAAAGTGTTTATCTCAGAGTCAGATACACCAAATGGTATTTAGCAATAGAAGAACTAGGTTCAAGCACTGACTTCCCTCCTGTGGAACATAAGGAAAACTGCTGAGTCTCTCTGCCTTCATTTTCCTTATCTGTAAAATGGAACACGCTTCCTATTCTACTCCTATATATTTAAATATTGATTTATTTATTCATATTGGAAAGTCAGATATATAGAGAGAAGGAGAGACAGAGTTCTTCTGTCTGTTGATTCACTCCTCAAGCAGCCATGATAGTCGGAGCTGCGCCAATCTGAGCCAGGAACCAGAAGCCAGGCGCCTCCTCCAGGTCTCCTGCGTGGGTGCAGGGTCCCAAGGCTTTGGGCCGTCCTTGACTGCTTCCCCAGGACACAAGCAGGGAGCTGGTTGGGAAGTGGGGCTGCTGGGATTAGAATTGGCACCCATATGGGATCCTGGCGCGTGCAAGGTGAGGACTTTAGCTGTTAAGCTACTGCATGAGGCTCACTTCTAAATATTTAACAGGAATCTTTTTCTTAAAGTTACGCAAATAAAATTTCCTTCATATTCCAATGGAAAAATCCTCTCTCCATGGCCAAGATTCAAACACAGTCTAACACTTCCCCTCTTTTCTCATCATCCATGTGTCTGCTGCTTGTGTTCCTGGTGATGTCTCCTAATTGTCTGGTCAGGTGTTAGCTATGTTCCTTCATTCCAGTAGTCTTTTCTGAGTATCTGTCTCATACGGTTCATCACTTTTTCCTCTGAAATGAGATCAGACCATACAAATGCCAGTCTCATGCCTGGCACAATAAAGAGGATCATGCTCACTAATGCAAGATCAACTAAGTGCATGAAACACTTTGAAGAGTGTCAAGTGTTATATAAGTACTATCATCATATTACAAATAATCTGGAATCTGGCTGCTGAACTGAGATATTACAAGGACACTGTGCCAAAGTTCCTTTTAGGAAAAGGTCATAAGCCATGGACAACAGATCTTTTCTACAGAACACAGCTTGGCTGACTTGTTTTAAAAAAATAAAAGGGGGGGGGGAGGTTTGGTTCCAAAGGCACTGTGCTCAAGCTCAGAAAACTAGCCCTTGCACTTAAGACACAGGCAAGAACCATAAAGAAGTTCAAGGAGATGGAAACTAAATAGGGCTGAATGGCTAAACTGGAGGGAGCCAGGGAAATGTGAGCGCATCACTTCTTATTTTAGAAATCTAAATCCTCTTTAGAACTATGTCCAGTTAGATGGAAATATTCCTGACGTGATGGGAAGATTCCATGGCTTTTATCTATCTGTCCAAAGAGACTTGAATCAGTGAATCCCACAGAAAGTGACTGGGCTTGTGGTTAGGGCTAGTATAGGTTTAACCTGAAAGAACTGCGGTCAACTCGGTGTAACTACTCCACAGACGCAATGCCCACCCATAGCCCTTCAGGCTTACAATGACAATTCCATGGAATATGGCCATGTTCTACATAACAATAAAGAACACATCCTAATAAATTAAAAATGAAACCTTAGGTGTATATAATATATTCTCAAGTAAATTCTCTTGCATCTTTCAGTCTGGTTCTTTTTTAATAGACCCATGTAACTGATTTTTTTTTTAAAATGTTATGCTCAGAAAAATAGCCTTGCCAATTGTTTCAAGCAAACTAAAAAAGAACACATTTATAGCAAATAAGGATTGTATTGGGGGGATTATGTTAAAATAAAATCTTCAAGGATGGGCAAGCCTGTCGATAACTTTTTCTAAATTACATCACAACCTATAGCCTCAATATTGTTAGGCCATATTATGTGTAACCAGACAGAACTTCTCTAAAAACTTTCTCTTCTAAAGGAGCAGTTCATGCCATATATCTGGATCAGAGAGAAAAATTACAAGTGTATAATATGATTAAAACTACCCCTTTGATTACTGTCTCATCTATTCATACACCCTCCATTGTTCTGTACCTACAGTAAGAGTAACCAGTTTCAGGCTGGATTTTTCCTTGACAATGAAACTATTCTAAAAGTGTTTATAATGTCAAGCCCTAAAGAAGACTGGCAGTAAAAATCTGACTACTTTTTAAATTTGGGAGTAAAATTACCAGTTGTGTGTTCAATATTTTTGTGTTTCTCTTGTTTAACTAAGAAAGCTGCCTGCTCTTCTGCCAAGGGTCTCTAGTCACATCTGGTGTTTTCTCAGCCAAGTCGGACAGCCTCCAGGAGAGCTGTTAATACTGAAATCTGGCTGGGCACAAGCTTCCAGTTCAGAGAAACAGAGCACTTACAAGGGCGTGGAAGAACCTCTTTTTCTAGAAACAATACCCTGGTTTCCCACTAATCAGTTCTCTCTTCTCACTGAGGATTTACTTAAAATTATGTTCTACACTGTCCCTCTCCATACAGTTTACAAATAAGCAGATCTCTGTGCAGTGCACCACAGAGCTCTTTTCTGACAGAGGTGAAAAATCTTGCCTCTCCTCACACAATCTGGTTGAGCTCCAGGCATGGCAGTTATGCACAAGATGAGATAACTTTGCAGAAAATTAACACCACCGCCTGCAGCTGGGAGATCTCTTTTTGTGTGTCAACAGCTGGGAAAGCGAACAGCACACAGCCTCACTGGAGAAGACATACAGGCTTGGATACAGAATGCGGGGTGTGAAGGCAGGAAGCCACCGAGGAACAAGCATAGGAAGATGTTCAGACAAGATGTTTGTGCAATCATTAACTTTGATAAGAGATACATTTTAGGATGGAAGTTATTTCTCCAATAAAATCCTCACAATGGGAAGACAATGTTCATTCCCTAGAAAACAGATTTTTCCTTTGTTCAAAAATATGTACATAGATACAGATTTAAAGACTAGAAAACTATGATACTGTATCAGTGGGTACAGATAATAAATCTAAGGCAGTATAAAGTGCAGTATCAAGAGTGAAGCCAAAGGCCTGGTGTGGTAGCCTAGTGGTTGAAGTCCTCGCCTTGCATGTGTCAGGATACCATGTGGGCGCTGGTTCATGTCGCTGTGATCCCGCTTCCCATCCAGCTCCCTGCTAGTGGCCTGGACAAGCAGTCAAGGACTGCCCAAAGCCTTGGGTCCCCGCACCCACGTGGGAGACCCAGGAGAAGCTCCTGGCTCTTGATTCATTCAGCTCTGGCTGTTGCAGCCACTTGTGGAGTGAACCAGTGGATGGAAGATGTTTATATCTCCTTCTCCTCTGTATATATGCCTGTCCAATAAGTATAAATACATCTTAAAAAAAAGAGTGTAGCCAAATGTATATTGCAGACTTTGGCTGATAACAAGGTATTCAAATGGGTTCACCAATGATACTACAGGTACCACGCTGATGTAGGACGCGCAGAGGAGGGAAGCTGTGTGTGTTTGTGGGCAAGGCATTATGTGAACAATCTGTTTTGCTGTGAATCTAAAACTTAATAAAGTACATATGTCATACATATATGCTTTTATAACAAATACAAACTTTAAGGTATATAACAAAAGGTAGAAATGATTGCTGTTGGGATAATTAAAAGTGATTTACTGTCTTGTAAAATTTTCTAGAACAAACATCTATTATTTTTAAAAGTAAAGAACTCAAGACAGAAAATGCCTGACAATCATGGAACCATACTATGAATCTACTGGTAAAAATATTGAAATGCATTAGAAGTAGCCTAGGGAAATGTAATGTTTGGGAGGGGTGTATTAAGATTATTCTTTCTGTTTATGGTACCATTAACATTTGCTTGAGTGTCTTAAGTCAAACAAGTTAACTAGTCAGAAGTTGACTATCGATATTCAAAAGTCTATTGACATGATGAATATCGAGCTATATAATAGCTCAATGAGAAAGGGACTTCCATGTTTGCAGCTTTGGCTACATGGAGACAGTTTAGGGCGGGACCCACTTAAATAAGCGAGTTCTAAGTTTTCTATAGAATACACAAAAATTCTTTCCAACAACGTAAGAGCTGGATATGCTCAAAATCTCATGGAAAGATACAAAAAAGAAAACCCAGCCAGGGGCTGTATCAATGGAAAGGCTGATGATAGTCCACGGTACGACACACATCCAGAAATGGCAACACACACTGAGGGTTACCGTAATGGAGAAGTTGTTCTCTTCCTAGCTCAGCCTTTCATGAGTAACTTCATAGCTATACTCTACTATGACTCACTGAGAGACACACATACTCTAGAGTTTCAGCAAGTTAAATCAGGGCACAAGCCGCCAATGGCACCACGTCCGATTGCCTGGTGAAAGAAACTCCTGAATACTGAGGGGAAGTGATGTAGTTTGGTCAGTTCTTGTGCATTTATTTTTCCTGTTTCTTGGCTTCTAATCATAGGAAGTGGAATCTAAGCTGGCTTAATTCTTTGTTAGTATTTTTGTTCAAAGTGTGCGGGAAGTAGAACCAAAAACGTTTTGACACTCCTTTACTGATTCTGATTATCCTCTGTTCCCACTATTGTATACAGACAAAAACCAGAATTTCTTTTCTAAAAAAATATGATTCACTTATTGTTATTATTTTAGAGATTTATCAATTTGTTTGAAAAGCAGAATTACAGAGAGAGAAGGAGAGACAGAGATCTCCCATCAGCTAGTCCACTCTCTAAATGGCTTCAACAGCCAGTAGGGAGCAGGGTTGGAAGCAGCGTAGCTGGGACTTGAACTGGCACCATATGGGATGCTGGTGCTGCACATGGAGACTTAGCTTACTGTTCCACACCACCAGTCCTTAAAATTCTTTAACATTGGAGGCATACAGGTCTTAGGCTGTTAGAAGTTTTATGAGCCTGTTAATGAGGTCTCTTTGAGTTAACAACAGGTTTCTGTTCAAGAACCACAAATAACTTTTAGTATATGTGCTGCCAAAGTGAGTACATGAACCACAAAAAACTTTTAGTCACTCACTTTTTGTTCATTATAAAAGGACCTGGGGGAGTCAAAATTTAGCTTACAGGGTTTCATATGTTTAAATGCCAATAACCTCTTAGTTACAAGTAGTTTCTAGACACAGCTGTACCAGACTTCAGATAAATCTGACATATTTGAGAGAATGATGATAAAGAATCATCCTATTTGGATATATTTTATAAATCTGTAACGGAGTATTCTGGAAAGCAGATGAAACATTTGACAACCTCAGGGGGGAAAAGCCTGATCAGCATTTGCACATTTCCTTGGTGTAAATGGCCCACCACAGTCAATCTAAATCCACCAGCATGATGTTACCACTGAAAGAGGAACGGGGGGAAGACATACACACACAACGTCATGCTGCACATGCAAATAATCTTAAGAACACAAATAATATGGAAGTGATGAGTACTTACAACCTTTATCATATAACTGAACAATTTCCCATTATGGGTCTAAATGAACCACCTTTAGCATACTAGTTAAAATGGTTCTAAAACTTACCAGGAATACATGCTCAAATATCTGTGTAGGGCTATCCATCTGACCAAGGATCACTATCATTTCATTATCTATAAATTCCTTAAATTCCCGCAAATTGCACACCATCTGCATCTCCAACTCCGTTCGTATCTGAAACAAAGATGGCATTTTGTACTAGTATTCTCTTTATGTCTGTGTGTATGTATATATATTTTTCTGTATGCATGTATGTCTTAAATCTTTTTAAAAGTTCTTAGATTAACATGTAATTCTTGTACAGTGCTACAGGATATCATGCAATATTTCAACACACTTATACAGCATAAATTCAAAAAATCAGGCAATTTATATTTGCTTTCCCCATATTTTTAAATCATATTCCATTTTTAATCTTCTACCTCCTTTTTATCCCACTCCTTGCCTTGGGCCAGTGAGGATTCAAGCTATCTTACCTCTTTGGATGTGATATTCTCCAAATCTTTTTGCATCATAATCTCTCTTAATTTGGTTTTAATTAGCCTTTCTGTTCGCTCACGCTCAGTTGGTCTGAGAAGAGAGAAGTAGAAAATTTAACCAAGTTAATGAATATATCATTTGCTTATCTTTGCAAATTAGCAATTCTACTTCTATTATTCTCAAATTTACACTGAGGAGGCAAAGCAAAGGAAAATTAAGATTTCTGAAAGTTTATTTTCAGGATGTACAAAATCATAAACATGTAGAAGCTATTACTTTAAGAGGTTATATTTATATGTGTTTAAAGGTCTTTAAATATTCATATATTCAGATTTGCAAAGGAGTGAAGACAAGCTGGATGGAGGCTGGGGTTCTGGTGCAGTGAGTTATGTTGTGGTACTGGCACCCCATACTGGAGGAGCAGTTCGAGTCCCAGCTGATCTGCTATTTTTTTTTTTTAAAGATTTATCCATTTTTGGGTCCTGTGCACTGGTCTTGAACGCATTGGGATCCCATATGGGTACCGGTTCTAATCCCAGCAGCTAAATAAAAAAATGTTTTTGGAAAGTCATATATACAGAGAGGAGGTGAGACAGAGAGGAAGATCTTCTGTCTGATGGTTCACTCCCCAAGTGGCTGCAATGGCTGGAGCTGAGCCAATCAAAAGCCAGGAGCCAGGAGCCTCTTTCGGGTCTCCCATGCAGGTGCAGATTCCAAGGCTTTGGGCCATCCTCTACTCTTATCCCAGGCCACAAGCAGTGAGCTGGTAGGAAAATGGGACTGCCAGGACATGAACCGGTGCCCATATGGGATCCTAGCTGTGCATGCAAGGTGAGGACTCCAGCCACCAGGCTACCATGCTGGGCCCTAGTCCCGGCTGCTCTGCTTCTAATCCAGCTCCCTGTGAATGTGCCTGGGAAGGCATCAGAAGATTCCCTAAGTACCTGGGCCACTGGTTTTGGTTTCAGACTTGGCTCCTGCAGACATCTGAGAAGTAAATCAGAGGATGGAAGATCTCTGCTTTTTTCTCTGTAACTTTGCCTTTCAAATAACTAAAATAAAATCTTTTTTTTTTTTGAAGATTTATTTTTATTATTTTTTCATTGGAAAGGCGGATATACAGAGAGGAGAGACAGAGACAAAGATCTTCCGTCCGATGATTCACTCCCCAAGTGAGCGCAACGGGCCGATACTGTGCCGATCCGAAGCCAGGAGCCAAAGCTTTGGGCCGTGCCGGGCCCAATAAAATCTTTTAAAAAAGATAAACTGGTATGGGCCCGGCGTGGTGGCGCAGTGGTTAAGGTCCTCGCCTTGTACGCCCGGGATACCATATGGGCGCCGGTTCTATCCCGGCAGCCCTGCTTCCCTTCCAGCTCCCTGCCTGTGGCCTGGGAAAGCAGTCAAGGACAGCACAAAGCTTTGGGAACCTGTACCCGCATGGGAGACCCGGAAGAGGCTCCTGGCTTTGGATCGGCGTAGCATCGACCATTGCACTCACTTGGGGAGTGAATCTTTGGATGGAAGATCTTCCTCTCTGTCTCTCCTCTCTGTATATCCACCTTTCCAATCAAGACATTATAAAAATAAATTTTTTTTAAAAAAAGATAAACTGGTAATATACTGAATGTAATGCCTTAATCATCACATCTGTACTTTCCCATCAAATACCCTGAATATCACTTTCTGAGCTAGAATACTAAGGTGCGTCACCAGTGATGTGACCCACTAAACAACTGGGTATTTCAAAGCTTCAAATGCCAGCCTATGCTGATGACTCATTGCTGTGATTCTAGAAAATAGGAAAGTGGGAAGACTGACTTTGTCTTTTTATTTTTTTTTTAAAAAAGGATTTATTTATTTTATTCCCACAATAATCAAGGTTTGGGCCAGGATGAAGATAGAAGCCAGAAACTCCAACTTGGTTCGCACATGGGTGGCAGGAGCGCCAGTACTTAGGCCATCACCTGCGGCTTGCCCAGGCACATTAGCAGGACGCTGGACCAGAAGTAGAGCAGCTGGCACTTGAGCCAGCAGTATAGTGGCGCAAGCAGTGGTTTAACCTGCTGCATAGTGGTGCTGGCTGGCTGTCTTCTTCAGTAAGGCAAATTCGGTCCTAAGGTGGGCTGCAGGACCAGCTACCTAAAATACTTGCATCCAAAATGCTTTCTGTTTCATGAAATCACTCATAATATCTCTGTGAAGTTGTAATTCTTATTTTATAGAAAAAGGAAACAAACACCTGGAAAGTTATAGTGTATGATCACACATATACCAGCAGGGACTCAGAACTCAGCCCTGCCCAACATTCGGCTTGCTAAGCTGTGTTGCTTCCCTTAGCTTTCTAACGCTCCTAAAATTATCCCTGAAATTTTAACGTTGGTTCAATGTAACCGGAAACATCTCTCTAAAAGCATTATTTAACATGATACATAATTTGGGTGAGGCTGACAGTACTTTCTGTGACATCTTTCCCTCCATCTACTCAAGAAAGGTATGTGCACTGCCTCCCCTTATTTGGAGATGAAATGGACTATGCCTTTAGGCATCCTGCCTGCCCTTGATGCCTGCCGCCTTATCACTGACTGCAAAAATAGCTTCAGTCTTCTCCAAAGATGGATTCCCCAACACCACGGCCTCAGGATTCCCCAAATCTTGTTCTTACTTCTCATAAACCCTGAAGAATATAACCAATACTTCTACCATGTCCCTGTCAATTAGCCAATCTTGACTAGGTTTTTTTTTTTCCCCTTTCTTTGACCAGGTTTACAATTCTTACCCATTCTTCATTTTTCCCAGACATAGCTAATGATAAAAGTAAATGTATACTTTAAGTCTTCCATTTCAAAGAAATAATAGTAAAAAAATTAAGCACCTCTGAGTATGGGTTAGAGTGCCTAGTTTAGCAATCTTTCTCTCAATCCCTCATACTTGTTTGAACACAGTGATTTGGGAGCAGACAGATCTAGTTTCAACCCCAGCTTGGCTATTTACTGCTGGTAGGATCTTGAGAAGCGTTCTTTGCTTCCCTGAGCTGCTGTTTCCTTTTAACGAGGATGGCAACAATGCCTGTCCTATGATATTAAATGAGACACCATACATGCAGTGTCCTGTGCAGCACGTGATGCACACTGGGATCACACATGTACGTTCCATGTATTTTCAGTGTTCTTTTCTAGGTTTCTCAAGTCAAACTAGGGAAGAAAAAGGAGTGAAAAAAAAAAACTATAACACACAGTTTTCCTTCTTTAATTTCACTTGCAAAATAATTTAGAAAACATAAAAAAATACTAAGAGAGGAAAAAAGCTACAGAAATTCCTCTATCTTGAGATAATTACTAATACTCTGACCTAGAGCTTACATGTATCCTTCCATGAACAGACATTTGGTTACTAAACATATCTTAAATTTGGGGTTACATCATATATATACTAAGAACTAACATTTAAGAAACCACTGCCATGTGGTTTGGGACCACCTTTTATAGATCTTTTCGGCTTATGACTATAGAGATAGTATGAGCAACTACATTTTTTCCCTTTACGTTATAATGTCTAAATCTTGGCTAACAAAAATCAGGCATAGGACAAAGCATTTTTGTCTCTCATGTAAGTCTGGTTTAGAATATACTTTCTTGAAATCTGAGATATTTCTCGCAATTATTATCCCAGGGTACAACAGACTCTTAAAAAAAAAAAGAAAGAAAAAAACCTTATGTATTTGGGAGTGAGAAAGTTCAATCTACCCAGTGGTTCACTATCCAAATAACCACGGTGGCTGGGCTGGGCATCCAGGAGGGAAGGCGATGGAAATCTCCCACATGGATGACAGGAACATGAGGACTTCCTGCCACTACCACTGCCTCCCACAGCATACATTGGCAGGAAGTTTTAGTATGCAGCCAGAACTGGGAACTGAATCCAAGCACTCCGAGCTCGGATAAATGCCTGCTTTCCTAAGGGATTTTACAAAGACCAGGGCTGCTAAAAAGGAGGTTCTAAACAGTAATACCCTAGGCAAAAAACAAACAAACAAAACAACTATTTTATTTTTTCCCCTTTATTAACTGCCATTATTTAAACGAAATCTTAAAAATTATCATGAATTGGGGCCGGCACCATGGTTCAATTGGCTAATCCTCTGATTACAGGTGCTGACATCCCATATGGGCACCTGTTCATGCCCTGGTTGCCCCAGTTTCCATCCAGCTTCCTGCTTGTGGCCTGGGAAAGCAGTGGAGGACGGCAGAAGTCCTTGGGAGTCTGCACCCAAGTGGGAGACCTGGAAGAGGCTCCTGGCTCTGGATTGGCTAGTTTTGGCTGTTGTGGCTATTTGTGGAGTGAATCAGTGGATTGGAAGATTTTTCTGTCTCTTCTTGTCTTTGTAAAATCTATCTTTCCAGCAAAAATAAATAAATCTTTTAAAAAATCATGAATTGTTTTGGAATTACTTTAGGAATCTAAAGGTGAATCCTATTGGTAAGGTTAGAGTAAGGAGCTACTTTTCTTTCCTAGCTATAACACAGTCTGAAAGTGCAGAAAAATTCCGAGCAAAATAAACATCTTTATTAATTCTAAAGCAGAAATTAAGTGTAAAAAATTTCCAAGGTAGTCATGAATTTTTCAATACATTAACCTGAAAAGGAAATTAATGGAAATGAACATCAGCTCTACCTTACACCTTTATGCAAATTATAATATATCAGGAAGACATAAGAAATCTTACTGACAAGGACTTAAGGCAAAGGATGAGGGTAAGAGGGTCAGATTTTGGGGGGAAAGGAAGAGTAGGAAGTTTAAATGATAAAGACATTTGAACGGTAGGTTTAAAATTAGCTTAAAAATCTAGGCATTCTTTTAAACTGACCAAAAATAATCTTGCATTCTTAAGTAATGCACAAATCCTTCTAAAAGCTTATATCATTAGTTACTTAGCAAATACTTTTTCACATATAAACTTTTAGTCTAATTTGTTAATTGAAATTTCAAAGTAGTGGAATCTGAATAGCATAATTTTGATAACACAGGTTCTTTTTAATCAGTACTTTCAAAAATTTTATATATTTGAAAGGCAGAGTTAGCGACAGGAAGGAAAAAAGGTCCTTCAACTGCTGGTTCACTCCCTAAAAGGCCACAATGGCAAGGGCTGAACCAGGCTATAGCCGGGAGCCAGCAGCTTCTTCTGCATCCCCTGCATAAGTATCAGGAGCCCAAGAACTTGGCCATCCTCTACTGTTTTCTCAGATACATTAGCAGGGAGCTGGATTGGAAGGCAAGCAGCTGAAACTGGAAATGGCACCTGTATCAGATGCTGGCACAGCAGGTTGTGCCATTATCCACTATACCACAACACAGGCCCAGATACTGCAGTTCTTGGCTACGGGAGCTCCATTGTGTCCTAAAGTCAGAGTCCACAGACCTTTGCAAGCAACACCAAGAACAGGTTTCCTGATGTGTGGAACAAGCGTGATAAAGATAGTGTCACTCAATAAGACTAATTGCCCAAGAGAAGAGATCAGGGAGGAACATGTTGCCCATGACCTCCCCAGAAAATAAGAGAGGACGACCAGAATCCTTGCAAACTGACTTACATGTCTGTGAAAAGAGCTGGAGAGTCGGGTCGGTGAGACTGCACATCCTGCATGGCGTTCCACTCATTGACAGAAGACTGATCTGAGTTGATGTGGCTCTCATAGTAACTCACCCAGGTGAGAAACAGGCTCCCTGGGTAATAGTTATGCATTCTGGCCACTTCACAGGCTTTGTGCAAACTCTGCAGTGCAGACCTGAAATACATGAGCACTGTAGAATCGTGGGGGTACCAAAAGGCCAACAACCCGTGACGTCCCCCAGACTCTGAATCTCTTGATTTTATAGAATTTGGCCCCCAGGAAATAAATAATGTTCAATTCCTATTGTACCATATTACCCAGCCATACCCAAAGCACATGACGAAAATAAGGAGTCAAGGAGGAGAACTGGCAACTTGGCAGTGAAAAAGATCTAGGACCCTACTGCACTCATGACCCTACAGTTGTGGCTGTGCAATATCAGCAGGAAACCAAAGATCTCAATTTACTATACAAGGATATATTTTCTTAGGCACAGAATCATATCATAGCATATATTCTCTGTGATAATTAGAATCTCCAAAACGTCACAGAGATAGATGTGTCTATGCCCTGATACCTGTCCTTTAATGTCCCACAAATACTGATTTGATGTCACCATCCTTGCTGCCTTAGCCTCCTACCACTGATTCACACACATGAGCTACTTTCTAAGAACAGCTCTGGTTACTCTGAGATAACTAAACATTCTGAATTCAGGAGCTCAAGAAGGGTAAACGAAACTGAAAAGTTCCTTTTCAGTTATACACTAGGGAAAGGCTTAAGCCAGAAACACTAGCAAGAAGAGCTATACACGAGCAAGGACTTCTCTATGACTGGTTTACTAATGCATCTCAATGGTCAGAGTGCCTACTTAGTTGGAAGCTCATTTAGTATTTTTGAATTGAAATGTTCTCCTATTTATACATATACATTACTAAGGGAAAAAGCGTAAGAGCTATGGCTAATGCACTGCTGCTTTTATCTTAAAAATTCCTTATAAATCTGTTCTCCCCTCATAACAAAAGCGATCCATGCTCAGATCAGAAAATTTAGGAACTTCAGATAAAAAAAAAAATCCTGTAATTCCAGAACCAAACACCGTTAGGGCTTCAGGATAGGTATTTTTAGTCTTTCTATGTATAGAGATACAATTAAAAAAAATGAATATATTCTACAAATAATTTATAAGTCATTCTTTTACTTTTCAGCTTGTCATCAGTATCATTCTATGTCAATGTATATTCAACTAGATAATTTAAAATATTTGCATAATTAGTAACATGCTTTAATTCCAATTTTTCAGATATTTATTTTCTACTTTTCTGATATTCATGGAACACTATAAGCATTCTCACAGCTAAAACCTCTGACTATTAACTTGGGGTAAATTCCTGTTAGCATTATTAAGTCAAACAACAGCCAAAACGATAGGGCACACTGGCAAACCACTCTGCAGAAATCTTGCCCTGGTTCATTCTCCCACCAAAACTAAAGGGCCGTGTCTGTTTCTCGAATCCTTGTCCACCCCACGTTAGGCAAACTAAGAAAAAAACTTTTTTATGACCAAATTAATAGGAGAATAACGCATCAAGCAATTTTTATTAGGGAAACAGATTTTTCCCTTAAAAACAAAGTTGCAGAACCTTTTGAAAATGTTATTATTCGAAGCAAGCCAAATTCTCAGAGAGAATTTCAGTCAAAAATCCCGGGGTCAAAGGTAAGAGCCAACTCAGTACAGTGTACAGAATAATCACCAAATGCTTCCCTTCATCCAGGAAACCATGCTTCCAAAGCTTGCAACACTGCAGGGTCTGCAGCAACTGCTGTGGAACATACTTCTGGCCTCCTTAGGCGCTTTTGTTGCCTATAGGAGTGTAAGGGCTGCAGCAACTACCTTCCTGTCAAGGAAACACCTGGTCTAAATTCTGTTTTGATTCACAAAGTATCTGTGCTTTTTTTTTTTTTTCTTTGATTTTCAATTCACTGTTCTCCATGTGGTACAACAGAAAACGTTAATTGTGAAGTGAGTTGAAAGAGATAGGAGTAGCCAATCTAATTTAGAACATGAAAACTTGATCTAAGGTTGTTGTTACTTGAATCAAGGCTGCTTTGTCCTGCTCTACAAAATACACCTAAAATAGTCATTTACAGTACTGTGCTTACTGCTGTATGCTTTTGCATGGTATACGGGAACACAGTTATCTTTAATTGATCCTTTGTTAAAGAAAGGAAGTCTTAAATTATCCATGAGAAATTCACCTGGGAAACAGGCCCTAAATCTAAAATTCTGGTTTAAAAACAAAGCTGAAACTGTCCTACCTCAGTAACTACACTCAATGATAAAAATGTCACTTGTTTATTGACTCTTAGAACTCCACCTACTTCAAACCTACGAATTTTATTATTTAAGGGGTAAGATTATCAATCAGGAGTCCTTTCCAGGCTTCTTTATTTCTTGTTTTTGTTTGCCGTCTGCCCATTCCACTCCTCACTAGGACCTCTAATACAGAGCATGAAGCTAAATGAGAAACTGAAATTTAAAAACCTGAGTAGTGGATGGACTTCAAAGCTTAAAGTCACATAATTTTCTGGTTATATTTGACTGTTCTTTAGATAATCTAACAAGAGAATAAGAACCTGTTCTGTCTAAATGTATGAGACACTCAGCCCAGTTACAAAACCTTTCTAAGGCCTCAGTTTTCTCAACTATATAAGAGGCCAATAATGTTATTTTTAGGGATTGATGACTAAATATAATCTAGGTAATGTACTTGGCATATAGTAAATAATATAAAAGTGTCAGTACACCAGCTGATAGTTATTAACAATTATAAGGGTTTCCTCAACCTTTATTTGCATTATGCAAACAACCAGTAGTGTTAATGAAAATTTATCAGTGTTAGCACACTCAGCAGTGTGATGTTCTAAGACTTGATTCTGAGGCTAAGTAACTTAGTCATTGGATAGTCCTGTAAAACTCAGTTCCAATAGGTGTCAGATCCATTACGAATTTTCTAGAGCCAAAAAATATTTCTGATCTTTACTATTTGCCAGTGCTCAAGGCCTTCCACGCTAACAATTCAGAAACTGCATTTCTAGGTTACCTTTATCATGGCCCAAGAGACAGATAACATAAAATCCTATAAACAGATAATATATTAAATAATATTAAAAAAAACAAGAAAACAATATTTCAACAACATACCAAACATTTTTACTTGTAGAGATATAAAATTCATCTTACCACATTGCCTGTACAGAAACAGGTTTGAATATATGAACTCTGTTATCTGTTGACACGCTGAACCCACTGATGACAGAAGAGAATAAGACAAAAATTCATTAATGAGGACAGGTTATTTCAGCTGTGAGTTGTCAAGGCTGCTTCCCAGGTTAGTAACACCTGGCTCAGTAGAAGGAAATCATGTAAGACTAGAATATAGAAGCTGACTAAAAAGCGCCAACAAATTGATTTTTTTTTTTCTATCAGGAAAAACAAATGGAATCCTGGGTTGGAATTGGGGAACTACATGCAGTTTCCCAGCCGTAGCTATGAACAAACTATTCTGTATATTTCTATTTGGAAGACTTATGAGTTCGTTGCAAACTTGATCTGGTTTTATAAACTGTAGCAAACATCTTAGTCTCTTGGGGACATTCTAAAAACACGAGGAGGTGGGGGTGGGTTGGTCACTGGAAGGAACTGGCACAGGAAAGGGGTTACACTGCAGGCCGACAGCTGGCAGAGGTTATTTGAAACAGAACATAGCATCCTCTGGGAGAGCATTGCAACAGCCCCGCATGCTCAGATTAAAGAGTGAGCCAACAAACAAGTTCTTTGTTTGGATTCCTACCAGAGACAGCCTTAAAGAACAGAAATGAAAAACCCTGGCGAGTCGTAATTTTTACTCCCCCTTACAAAACAGGAGTTTAAAAGAACTCACTGAACTGGTGATATGACAGTTTGGTTACACACATGGGCTTTCCACTCAGGTGAATGAATGGGCACTAAGATGGAACCATATACCCTGGCTTTAAGTAGAATAGAAAGGGAAAACTCTTACCCATCACCATCCAAATGAATTAGGGTGTCACTCCAGAGAGGAAGGACTAAGCCCATAGTACAAGTGCTACTGCAAGAGAAGAAATTATCTATGTTACCTCTTATTCCACTTGGAAGCAATTTTATTTACTCTTTCAACACCAAGGATAAACATCTACATTCTGGTCTAAGTGTAGTTACAGTGAAGAAATTTCCATTATTTTACTATCAATCCCACCCATGGAGTCAGAAGCTGTTTAAAGTTATATGTTTACCGAAGAACTTATTGGCTGAGCTCCCTGTATTACTGCCTTGCAAATGGCCATTATCTAAAAATTCTAGGCAATTAATACTGGCTTCCATTTAGCAGGTATAAATCCAGGGTACAAAACCCAACTCAACTCCAAGGATTCATTAATCCTTTCTCTTGAGAAAAAGAGAAAGAGATAGAGGCAGAGAGAGAGAGCGCGAGAAAGGGAGGGGGAGAATGGGAGAGAGAGAGAGATCTTTCATCCACTGGTTTACTAATCAAATAGTTACATTGGCCATGGCTATGCACAGAGCCTGGTGCCTCTTCCAGGTCTCCCATGTTGGTGCACAGGACCCAAACACTTGGATCATCTTTGGCCTCTTTCCCAGGTCCACTAGCAAGGAGCTGGATATGAAGTGGAGCAGCTGGGTCTTGAATCAGCACCCATATGGCATGCTGGTATCATAGGCAGTAGCTCAACCCAGTATACTACAATACTAGTCCCTAATTTCTTCATCCTAAAATGCAGATAACAAAACCTATCCTCATAAAGTTAACATAAATATGTAAAATATTTAAAGTAAGACAATATATACGAATGCACTGTCCTGCAAAACAAATGCTGACCATGGATCTGAAGTGGGTTTTCTAACACATCTGAAATGACTAAAGGAGTGGGGAGATAAAGGGATTATATGCAGAAAAATCTCTTTCCTTCTCTCTCTTTGCTCTGTCTCTCCTCTCTCTGTAACTCTGCCATCAGGATCGCTCCAGAAACCCCTCAAAACAAACTAACAAATAAACAAATAAACAAGCAAACAAAAAGACTAGAAGAGACAGAAAACAGCAAGGAAAGCTTAGAATCAGGAAACGGGCAGTGGGAATGCACTTATAACTCACTGGGTGGGACACAAAAATTAGTTACTCCTCACTCGGGTATTGAAGATTTCTCTGCACACCCCTCCTAAAACTGTTCACCTAAACTGTTGACATATGTCTTGTTAGAGTTATAGAGTTAGACTACCCAAAAAACAGCCAGGTTCTGCAAAATCGTGCTTCAACGCTATAAACTGCTAAATACTAAAATTAAAATAGACATGATATAGCTGAATAGTAATCTATAGCCATTTTAAGGTGTATAGAACCTGGTTGAATATAAACTAATAATTGTAATGTCAATGCAGAAGTCATAGGATGTGGTTCAGAACTTGCACTCTTTTTTTTTTTTTCTCTCTCTCTCTCTAACATGCTGGTTACACAATACCATGTCAACTGATTCCATTACGTTATAAATTGTTACTGATGTAATGTCGGGGCTTTTAATTGATTAGGATGATACTCTGTTGGCTCTACCTTCAGACCAGAGACGGTCTCCCCAAGAAACTGTTGAACTTATCTGGACAATAAGATGCTGGACTCTATGCTTTGTAGATGCTTGCAAGGAAAGAATCTCAACTGAATTTGAACTGTGGTAATGCAACAAGGTGGAAGAATCCACCGTGGGGGGGGGGGCTGGTTTTGGGGAGAGGATGGGGGAATCCCAGTGCCTATAAAACTGTGTCACATAATGCAAGGTAATCAATTAAAAAAAATAAAAAAAATCAGTTTTCTTTACAATTTATAATATATTCAATTCATTTTGAAAACCACAGAATATCTTGCCCACTTTCCTGTAGCCCTTGAATCTTTTTACCCTAATTAACTATGTAAAGATTGTCAAAAATATAATAAAAAATGGAAAAAGTAAAAAAAAAAACAGAATAAAAATTAGTTGCTAGTTTTCCATAGCTCAATTTTCCTTCTACAAACTAAAATTTTCTTTTGTTAGTGGTTCTTGGCAGATAGATACATTTGAAGCAGGACTTATTATAGAAGACAGATGTAGTTCACCAAGGATAAATTATTGGGTACATACATTAAGAAATATTCTTTTTGGTAAAGTTTAGGACAAAATTAAACAGATAAGATTAGACCTGCCCTAGGGTATAGCAAGTAAAGCTGCCTGGAGTGCCAGCATCCCATATAAATGCCGATTTGAGTTCCTGCTGCTTCACTTCTGATCCAGGTCCCTGCTGATGTGCCTGAGAAAGCAGTAGAGGATGCTTCAAGTGCATGGGCCCTGCACCCATGTGGGAGACCTGGATGAAACTCTCCTCTCTCTAACTCTGCCTTTCAAGCAAACGTCAGGAGAATCTGCAGTCTATAACTTCTGCCTTGAGAGGAAGACTGCTGAAGTTTCCATGCCACCTCAGTTCCTGTTTTGTATGTTTTTCAAGCTACGAAGAACTGAACAAAGGAAATATGAGCAGAACTGTTGTCTAACTGAACTTTCTACAATAGTGAAAATATTTTATATGTCTTGCCTAATATGGGAGCTACCAGCTACACAAGTTGCTTAGTACTTGAACTGTGGTTAGCTATCATTAAACACTGAAAATTTTCTTTAAGTAGCCACATGCAGTTACTGGGCACCAAACTGGAACATACAGATTTAAAGAGATAAAAAAAAACCCCAAAAGGTCCTAAAATCCTAATGAATACAGACAAGGTTGGTACTCTTAAAGGAAGATGCTTACTGAAGGTTCTCTGTTGTTTAGGTAACACTAGAAGTTAAAACCATGTAGGAGAAAACCTCTTAAACATAGTTTACCAGCCCGTGTAAAACCAAAGAGCACAATGATATGCTATAAGCGGAGTTCGAGCTAACAACTCTGCCTTTGTGATTCCTGTAAACCCACAAGTCATTTTCAAGTTGACTTCTGTGTAATAAGCTCGGATAAAGACTAGTTTGAGAAATCTTCTAGCGATGATGTGATCCTCCTCCCCACAATATTGGGGCGATTAGAATCCTTCTCTTTCTCCTCCTAACTTTGTGGCTGAATTCCCCCAGGGCTGGGTCACACCCCTAGTTATTCCACAGTTCCATTCTAGTCCTGAACCAGGAAGTCAATGCTTTCAGACATCTGGCAGGATTTCCGGAGGCTTATTATCTGCAGTGTAAAGATCTGCTTAGCAGCCACATTCCACAGTCTTCCCAAGATTTCTCAAGAAAAAAGGGAAAATAAAAAGGAAAATACTAAGAATTAAGGACACAAAAGTCAGGTTCTATACCAATGTATAATATTTTAAGTTATGAAAAATGTAGCTAAAGCCAAAGGCAGATGATCAAAAAAGGTTCTGCTCCAGAATTAAGGACTACTGTCCTATCCTCCCATTATTTAATTAGAAGAAGGAAAAAAAGGAGGCATAAGATTGGTAAAAGCAAGGTTTAAAGCCATGGATAACTATGTAAGAGGCAGGAGTTTAAGTGGGATCTCTTTGAAGTCAGGTCCATTGGTGTACTACCACAGAGGGTATGTGCCTAGCCATTTTAGTTTATACAGAAATGAAGGAAAGGAAAAGAACAGAGGTAAACTAGGAATACAAAATTAAAGACACCCTTGTCTCTCAAGACCACAGCTGACACTTCTATGTTTTCTAGTTTTATATCTTGACCTTTGATGACAGGAACGCAAGTGGAGATGACCTAACACGCTGTTCTCTCTTTGACACAAGCGCATGCATGTGTATACACACACACACTTTGGTGGTACCATACCTGTCATTAGAGGAGAAATCCATTCCTAGGACAATGCTTTCTTCAGTGTCTTGTCTACCATTAGTTGAAACCACTACCATATACCGTGTTCGATTCTGGTAAGTACTTTCCAGTCTTACAGCCTAGGGGTTAAAAAACAACAGAGATATTGAGATAGTCAGAAGGATAATTCCAGAGCATGAAGCCTTTTACATCAGCATCATGCTACACCACACTCAGGGAAACAGTGGAGCCAGTAATTAGGAGATTTGAAGGCAAATCCCAACCCATCTGAATGCTAACTAAAAAATCATTGTTAAGTTATTTACTAAATCATTTTCATGGAGATTTAAATGGTAACTACCTCTTAGAATTTCTTTTCTTTCCTTTTTTTTTTTTGAGCATTTTTTTTCAAGATTTATTTTTGCTTGAAAGGCAGATTTACAGGAAAAGAAAGAGAGTGATCGAGAGAGAGAGAAAGGAGAGAGAGAGAGAGAGAGAGAGAGAGAGATCTTCCACTGATTGGTTCACTCCCCAAATGACCACAAGGCCTAGAGCTAATTCGATCCAAAGCCAGGAGTCAGGAGCTTCCTCTGGGTCTTCAGGTGCATGCAGAGGCTCAAGGACTTGAGCCATCATCTGCTGCCTTTCCAGGACATAAGCAGGGAGCTGGATTGAAAATGCAGCAATGGGGCCAGCACCATGGCCTAGCGGCTGAAGTCCTCTCCTTGAATGCGCCAGGATCCCATATGGGTGCCGGTTCTAATCCCGGCAGCTCCACTTCCCATCCAGCTCCCTGCTTGTGTCCTGGGAAAGCAGTGGAGGATGGCCCAAAGCTTTGGGATCCTGCACCCACATGGGAGACCCGAAAGAGGTTCCTGGTCCCTGGCTTCAGATCGGCACTGCACTGGCCATTGCGCTCCCCTGGGGAGTGAACCATTGGATGGAAGATCTTCCTCTCTGTATATCTGACTTTGCAATAAAAATAAATTAATCTTTAAAAAAAAAGAAAAGTAAATCAGAGGATGGAAGACCATCCTCTCTGTCTCTCCTTTCTGTAAATCTGCCTTTCCAATAAAAATAAACATATCTTTTTTTTTTTTTTAAATTAAAGCCAAATAATGAGTCTATGAGGATATATTTCCACCCTAAAATGTTTGGAATTTTCTTAAGAAGAGGTTCAAAAGGACACTTTACAAGGCTTAAAAGTAAAGTTTGTAGGTAATAAAATAATGATTTATAGGTAATATTCATTAAAGCATTTCCATATTCAGTGTACACAAGGCATAGGTGCTGAAGACCCAAAAAGTGGAGGAGAAAGACATGGTTTTACCTGCAGGGACTGAACTGTCTGTTCATTCTGTAATTGTTGATCATAATAAAAATAGTAATGCAATGACAAGATCCTTTGAAGCCAGGAAAATGTACTCTGGAGGCAATTTCCTTTGTATAAAATAACTCTTGCTCCTCATCTCAGAAAAGAAACAGTTTTAGAACTCTGCTTAAAGTCCCCTTAACTTTGTCACTATTCCAAGATGGCCAGGGAAAGAGAAGGCCAGGCACTGCTACAGCTCAAATGACCTGATTAGCAAATGACCTGCCATCTTTCTGTACCTATTCCGACACTCTTGGGAAAAGGTAGTGATGCAAACAGCAGTCGAAATGGCTACACTAAAGCTTGTATGGAATAACAGTTGACAGAACAAGAATATGATGTCCGCCATTCGGATGCCAAGTACACAAGATAGACAGCCATGCTGCTAACTTTACATGCCATGAAGAAACACAGACTTCAAAAACCAAATCCTCTTAGAAGCCAAGGGAAGCTAACATTTAAACAGAGTAAGGTATAGACCAGGGGTAACAGCCTGTTATAGATTTATGGAACCTCAAGTCCTGCCTGCAGTTGCCTTGGTGGGGCCACGCTGCATGATTTTAAGGGAATAGTACAATGCACCTACAGCTATTGTCAGGAATAAATGCATGCGAACTGGACTGGGAAGTAGCACTTACTTTTTCTCTCTTTGTAGAAACAACCTACAACATGCTAAGTTAACTAGAAAACATACACCAGAATTTCTTATAAGCAAGACTTCAGATACTATTACATATTTAAACTTGAGCTTGTCTTGGTAAGCTCTGACCTAACCGTTTAGTTTTCTGAATGGTTAAGGGCTCTTTATCCAGTCAAACCGCTGAGAATGTCTGGCAAGGCTCAAATACAAATGGCTTGAGAACAACTAAAGTGTGCTTATAATCATTTATCTACAGCAACTGGGGATTGGCTAAATCAAAGCTGATAAAAGGAGAAAAAAATTAATAATGTCCATAAATATTACTTATAATGAAAGTCATCAGGCCAAGTCAGAAGATAACATACAAAAGTTTCCAAGTGATAATCAGTGCAATCATTAAGTGGCTCTTAAAAAATGGTGTATTTACTTATATATTTATAATAGCAGCATTTTAAATGTTCGGCTCCTCCTTGCTTAATCTTATTTTCAGATGACATTTCTGTCTTCCCCATCCCTTCCAAACTAATGGGAAAAGGCTAGTCACTTTACACTGACTTAGGTTTGAAGAAGAGGTGCATGTTAGATACACTCAATTTCTAAGCTTGTTAGATGGGAGAACAGCACTTAGAATTTTAGGATTTGATCACAGGCCTCAAGACAATGTTTACAACAGTTAACAACTTCTTACCAATCAGAGGCCAGCAGCTAAAGTATTATTTTAATAGCTACCTCCTAATTAAAACAATTAGATTAAATCTTTATAAAACAATTCTGAAATGACAGGGAAGAGGACCTGAGACTCTTCAGTTCCTTTTAAGCTTGAAGATTTTAAGTTAAAACAGTTAACTAAACTTCCATTACCCACAAGCAGAACAAAAAATATAGTAACCATCTTGGTTTAAAGTGTATTTCATGGTCCTCTCCTAGGCAAGATTGGAAAACCATATATATAATGTATAATAAAATATACATATATTATATATAATTCATTATACATATATTCATTATATTATATACATATTATATATAATTCAAAGGCAGATCTTACAGACAGAAGGAGAGAAAAACCTTCCATCCACTGGTGTATCCCCCAAATGGCAGCAATGGCCAGAACTGAACTGATCCGAGGCTTTCAAGGTTTTACGTCATCCTCCGCTGCTTTCCCAGGACATAAGCAGGGAGGTAGACAGGAAGCAGAGCAGCCAGAACACAACATAAGGATCCCGGCATTTACAGGTGGAGGATTAGCAGGTTGAGCTATCATGCTGGCCCCCCAGGATTTACAAAATCTAGCTTAATAATCTAATTTATCAAGTCAATCAGAAAAAATACAACTTACAAGGGTAAGTTCGTGTATAACAAACTGAATTGAAAATGACAACATTTCCAGTACTTCCTCTGTCTCCAGAGCTTATATGGAATAATCAGCTGGAATAAACAATAATTGAGATCCTTTCTGGATTTTGAAACCCAGCAGCAATAACAACTGAGATTTTTTTACAAGTTCATGTATTGACTAAATTCAAAATCTGGTTACAAGTGCCATATGATCTGGATCCGACCATCTTAGAACTCTTGTAGGTCTGAGAAGCACCTCTGTCTTGGCTTCATTCCTGAAGAATCCAAACTGTTTTCAAAGCTCAACTAGTAAAGAATACTATTAAAGTTATCCTCTGTGTTTCCTTTAGATGCTTTACCCAACTACAGGCAATTTATAAACAGTACATGATATAAAAGCTTCTCTCTTTGGCATCAACATTAGGAAATACCACTTTATGCTTATAACACACCTCTGCCTTTCATTTCTTTTCAACAAGAGACTTACATCATGCCCCTGCATGCAATGTTTACCCTCGTTGAAGTCACCTTATAAAGACTCAAAGTCTAGACAAGCAGCTCACTCAATCCATCAGAGGGAAAGGTTTCAAAAGTATATAAATATTAATTTCTAGCCAAAAGAACAAAGCAATATCCATAGCAAAAATTAAAATAGGTTTCAGATGTGAGAATAATGAACCAAAGAACAAATCAAAAGATTAGAACCTGAAGTCTCTGAACTAAAACAATCTATATAGTTCTCAAAATAAAAAAAAACTTATAAATTATATTGTTATTAAAAACCATGATTCATTCACTGACATGGAAAGATATCCATAATAAACTGTGAAGGAAGCAACTACAGAGCAGTATGCATTATGTTTGCTTACATATGGAGGTGTGTGTTCTCTACATGCAATCGCATACACATGCACACACAAGACTGGAAGGTATATTATCCAAATCACTAAGAATGGTTCTCGCAGAGAGCGGGACACAAGGAGCCTTCAGAGAGTTCACAGAAATTGTGTAGCATGAAAAAAAATACGAATTTAAAAATGTTTTTGCACCAAAAATAAACTTATCTTTTACTTTCATTTTTTTCACAAATGTTTTGAAGTACTCTTGTACCTACTTATTCTGTCTGATTTAGCAAAAAGCAGCTCAAATAATATAATTACAGTTAGAAAAAAATAAACTTGATTTTATTTTGGCGGAAAAAACCCACATATTATAAAAATCTAAACAAAAAATCTAATTTTCTTGAGTTATCCTGCAAAGTTCTTATCAGCTTTTTTTGTATCATATTAGTACCTCAGCTCTAGTTAAGATCATCAATTAAAATTATTTCAAATGTCCTGAAAAATAGTAATTTCCCAATATTTTAAAATTAAATGCAGATTTGATAATGTGCATGAGTATCATAAAACCACTTCCTTTATTTTACCAGCTACAGTTTCTGTAACTATGAAAATTAATGCTCAACACCCACACTTGGAACTCAGACCTTCCCTGGAAGAAAAGCTTGGCTTTCATCTTTTTGTCAATGCTAAAACAAAATATAGGATTTGACTGAGTTATTAAAAATATAAAGACAAGGCTTCCAGTTGACCATGAAACTTTTAACCTTATGCACAAATCCCAAGATAAGAGTTTTAGCATTCCAAATTTAACTCCAAACAAAAGCCTTTGCTTTGAGTCTACAAATGCCCCTTTCAGTTAGAAAAGTGCTAATTTGTCCGAAGCAATACAATGTGTTCACTCATTTTCTTGAAGATGACTCACTCAATAATCTCAAACATAATGACTATGTGTTTGCAACAATTCAAAACAACTGTAAAATGGTTTGTCAGTTGAACTCTGAATTAACTCAGAGGCATCAGTTACATTTTCTGAATTTATACTTTGTAAAATAAAGGTGCAAAAGCTGCTGAAGTTATAATTCTATTAGGAAAACAAAAGATTTCAATGCAAACTTGGTCTTCCTATCTGCTTTCTTCATATTCTCCCAAGTTTCATATGGTTAAATTTATTTTAATGAATTTAGAGGTCCAAACTCCAGAAGTTTATCACTTACAAGATAAGGTGAGTGAAGTGAGTGGTGACAGACTCTGACTTTAGTTTTACTAAATCATACACTTTTCAGAAGCAACCATTCTCTGGAGCAGCTAGTGTGGACAATTAATCACTGTCACGGGTTTTAGAGGATCTGTATGGTACTAGTAGTGTCAGCATCACTTGGCAACACATATTATCACCGATTCCCTATGGTCAATCAAACTCTGCAGGTGGAACTCACTATTGGTGGGTTAAAAGAAGCTGCTCCCGGCGATTCCCAAGGATTCTAAAGTCCAAGAATTGCTACGTTAGAATAGTAAGAACTACACTCTTTAAGCTCTGTTCACTTTTAAAGAACTGTTTAAGAAAAAAAGTAAATCTATAAAAACAGACAAAAATTAACAAAGAGTTTGAGAGAAAAATGACAGAATTCAAATGCAGAGTGACTAAATTAAGCAAGAACTGGTGATCACTGAGGAGTTCAGAGATTTGATCACCAGCTTTCCACAATCTTGTATTTCACTTATCATCTCTGTCCTTGAACAAAATGTAGGCATTCACCACCTGAGATCATTGTGTTTGTGGTTCTCATTCCATATCCAAGTAAACACTGTATCCTGGAAGAGGGCATTACACACACCTGGATTATTACAGTAATTACCAAGCAGACCTCCTTGGCTTAAAATAGTCTCCCTCTCTCCATTCTGAGCTTCTGAGGAATGTTCCTTATAATTCTGTAGCTACCTAATGTCACTGCTTGGATAAATAGCCTACAGAAGAGAGAGGGGATATTAACTCTAGTTGGCAAATTAGAAGGCCAGATAAGCAAGGCAAATGAGTGAAGTAAACCACTGGAGTACTAAATGGACGGAAATACTTTCTAGTTTTTCCACAAAGCAACATCTTTTGTTTTTCTTATAAGAAAACTAACAATGCAGTTTCACCTATGGTGAGACTTTTAGTTTCCAAGAACCTATGACACACTTCTCCCCATTTCAGTCTATTCATGTTTTGCCACGTGAGAATAAAATCCCAGTACTTCCAGAAATATTTTCAATTGTGAAGAACAATGTCTGGATTTTAAAAATTCTTATTTAAAAAATGTTCACTTAGTTGGGGATGTATGCCTATGTGGGCCTTGGACTAGGGTGGGAAGGATCAGGTCTGGTGGAAGGGGAGGAGTTCTCTCCCTGCTGTCAAACTATGTCAGTAACTGGGGATGGGGGACAGTCATGTGATGATGCCTTAGAGATCCTGATGTGACGAAGAGTGTTCTGAAGGTGTTACCGGAGTGGTTTTGATAGTTCTGAGACACCACTGGCTTAGTTGTTCCAGGGTTGAGAAAATCTTTCCAAGGTCTGCTGGATGACCAAGTCCACTTTAGCACATCCACAGACCCAGAATGTCTGATTTTTTCTATGAAATCATCCAATTAAAACATTCTACATTTAAAAAAAACACTATATAACCCAAACAATGGCCTGTAGGTAGCCAATGTGAGACCTTCAATTTAGATCATTATATCCATATTTGCCGTCCTCATTTTTCTAGTTTCTATTTTCCCTGTAGCAGTAATAGTTCCCATATTTGGGTGGAATTTCACATTCTTAAATGTTTTCATGTTAATTCAATTTTCTCAAATGTAACAGGTAGTGAGGAGACTACTGAGGCTCTGTACCTAGGTCTCCTGATTCATTTCGGGCCATTTCACGCCTTCCTGACCCTCTTTACCTACTGTGAACAATTTATGCCATTAAAAATCTAATTTTTCAAAGATTCACTCAGCTCCATTGCCTTCATAAAATCGTCATCAACTTCCCAAGTTTTCTTTGCTTTTTCTGAACCTTAGGATAATGATAGTCAGTCTTACAAACTGGCACTTACCAACAGTCTTGGAGAATCAGGCTATTTCAAACCAGTTTACATTAGGTTATACCCCCAATTAAATTCTGACATCCTGGATGATGTGGACATATCATTCCTCTTTCTAGTTCTACACTATTCCTTGTATTGTAATGGGACATACAAATGACTATATTAGACAATCATTTAAGGAAAAGCTATGATGCTACCACTCACCAGCCTGATGTTGTCTTCTGGGCGGAGTAATATGAACATTGCTTGGAGATGCTGTTGGAGATCGCCTGGTAAAATTTACAAGCCAAAGAATAGTTATTCTTCATTCTAATGTGAACAGAGAGGATTTCTTCTACCTTAGTGACTTGTACAAGGAATTTCTACTTCATTGAAGGACTGTAGTTAGACATAGAAATTAAATGATACAATGACTAACTTGGAAGTGGAAAGAAGAAAAACTGCATTTTTACACATTCTCCATTAGCCTGTACTACACTGAGGCTTGTGTCTGTAGTACGGAAGGTACGCTTGAGACCAATTTCGGTTTTGTACGATGGCTGATATTGATGAGCGATCTGTTGGGCAGACAGCGCCAGCTGTGCCTTCAGCTCACTGAAGGTAGTGATGACAGCACTTTGAAAATGGGCGTAAGGGTTGGGGTTTGATACAGTGTCAGAAGAATTATTACTAACTTTTAAAAAGTTATTTTCTCATTTCTATTTCTATAATCACAGCTTTCAGATACACTTAAGGTTTTTGTTTTTTAAAAGTTTTATTTATTTATTTGAAATAATGACAGGGAATGATAAAAGGAGAAAGGGAGAGAGGAATGGTGGGGAGAGAGAGATAGAATCTTCTATCTGCTGGTTTACTCCCACAGGCCTATGACAACCAGGATTGGGCCAGGCTGGTACCAGAACTCCAATCATGTTTCCCTAGAGGGTAGAAGAATTTAAATACTTGTATCAACATCAGATGCCTTCCAGACACATTAGCAGGAAAAAGTGGAGGTGAGATGGGATTCTAGGCCCTCTGATACATAATGTGGTCATCCCAAATACCTTGATTTGGGTCTCACAGGATCCTAAGACTTTGGGCCGTCCTTGACTGCTTTCCCAGGCCACAAGGAGGGAGCTGGATGGGAAGTGGGGCTGCCGGGATTAGAACCGGTGCCCATATGGTATCCCGGGCGCGTTCAATGCAAGGACTTCAGCCGCTAGCTAGGACACCATGCCGGGCCCAGAACTTATATGTTAATATGTGTTATAATAATTCCTGTTATACAGTAATGACAGTGAATTTATTTACGTTAGTAACAAATCATATCCTTTTCCTTGGGCTACTACAGAACACAGAGAAATTAACAATTTAATCTTTGGTTAGTTGAAATGATTTCTGCATAAGTTACAAGGGAATATCTGAACACTGTTAGCCATTAAAGTATTAGCTGAGAATACACTTATGATTCTGTTAGAGTATTTAAACGTATAAAAAAAATTATTTTTATCTTATCCGGAAAGGAAAGGCAGATGGGGGACTCTTCCATTTGCTGGTTCCCTCTCCAGATGCTCACAAAATCTAGGGCTGGGTCAGGCCAAAACTAGGAAATTGGAACCCAATCTGTGTTACTGACAGGGCCCCAAACCCTTGAGTCGTCATCTGCTGCCTCCCAGGTCATGCATCATAGGGAGCTGGCATCTGAGGCAGAGTTGGGACACAAATCCAAGCACTCTGTTATGGGATGTGGGCATCCCAAGCACTCTTTTCAATGCTGCCCAAAATGCTCACCCCTCAAAGGAGAGGAGTTGTTTTCCTTATAATTATTCTTTTAAAAACTTTAATTGAGCAATTATTCTGTACGAAAGGCAATCTGGTAAAAGCTAGAAAAATGATCTGTGTCAGTGAAAGAAAAGTGAGGACAGCACAGCAGAATGCTTTCTTTCACTGTTCAAACAATTTTGGGAGGAATGGTGAGAAGGTGGTCAGAATTTGAAGGACAAAAGGCAAGACAAACCAAGAAGGGAATGGTATGTACACAACTTTACCTGCATGCTTGTTGCGTCTGTGGCTGATTCTTGGTGTGGATGAGCCATTTCCCCGTGGCAGAAAAAGAGCAGCACCTTTGACAGTTAGGAAGCTCTCGCTGATGCTGTAAGGGGGAGAAAAAATGCAAAGAAAGTAACTTACTTAAGGAGAGGAATCCAAGAGGAGAATGCAGATTCACTTTACAACTATTCTTTTTTCTCAAGTACAAAATTTCAACCTCATGGGATAAAGTAAAACAAATCAAGAAAGCGCCTGGTTACATACACTGGCCTGTGTACACAAAACATTCTATTTGCAATAAGACCTAGCCTAACAGTCTATATACACATTACAAGATAGCAGTTAAGAGTGAAGTTTCTGGTAAGAAAATAAATGGACAAGCATTCTGAGTTTGAATCCTTTGCTCTGCTATTTCCTACCTGAGTGGGATTTTTCAGACCTAAACGATCTCACTGCTAAACAGTGATAATGAAATGAAGTTGTGATGACTCAAAGAAAACATAACATTTTCTTCTAAATGTACTTATTTTACTTAAAAGGCATAGAGAGAGAGAGAGAGAGGAAGGGAGGCAGAGGCAGACAGACAATGAGAGATCCTTTATCCACTGGTTCACTCCTAAAATGCCTGCATAGCTGGGGCTAGGCCAGGCCAAAGTCAATCCAGGTCTCCAGCACTGACTTGGCAGGAATCCAATTATCTGAGCCATCATCTGCTGCCTCACAAGATGTGCATTAGCAGGAAAATGATGGATACTGGAGGAGCGAAGCTACAGACCAGACACTTCAATATGGGATGCGTAACTGCTGCACCAAATGCCTATTCCTGAGAACACAGCTTTGCAAAGTGGTGCTAGAAGAGCATTAAGCCTTTAACAAATATTCATTAGCATATCTATGGTGATCAATAGTGGTATTAGTAGTGTCCTGATTAGATGTGAAATATTTTGATACTTAACTACTAGTAACAGATTTAAAGCATGTTAAAAAAAATTCATGTTTAAAATATCCATACACTAAACACTAGCTAAAAATTTGATTCTCAGCAATTTGCTTCCCCACAGGCATCGAAAAAGCGTAGTGCACAGGAAGTGTGTTAAGCCCACTGGAGTTAGTCCTACATTTAAATATTATTATCTATGTAGGTAATAAACTACTGCTCAACCAGGGCATTTTAAAATATAAGCATATCCACAGGAAGCCAACATGTTTAAATTATTTTATATCAAGAGACTAATGCATATACATAATGGAGTGTTCCAAATCGGCTTAGGAGTTTGGTACTACCACGTAGGACTAGCTAAGGTATTGTAAGTCACACTGCCCACTAAATATTAAAACTTGGAAATCTAACTGGCATCCTAAACTTTTCAGTGTCAAAATTAAACTTTTCCGTCCCATCTCCTTGGACCCCCATACTCTCTTCCCCAACCCATGCCAGCTGATCTCCATCCTTATATACTCAGTTGCTGGGGTAGAAAACATAAAACATTCACTACTGCTTTCTATCTTTCCCTCCTGCAATATATAGAGAATATATCAAGTCACAAGATTTTGAAAGTCTTTCATTATAGCAAAATTTCAAATATACACAAAAGTAGATACAGAAAAATATCTGCTTTTTAATTTCTATCACATCCTAGCTTTAATTCATCACCAATTTTATTTTACTTTTATTATTTTTTGGTATACTTATCCCTTTTACCTTGCCCCTAAAGTGAAACAAATACCAGACATTCATCAGCAAAGGTCTCTTAACAGATTGGCCTAAAACCACTTCTGCCCCCTTATTATCCACTCACCAAACAGCAACCAGAGAGACTTTGAAATACATGTATGAAGAACAAATAATGACACTTCCCTGCGTAAACTCCTCTAAAGGCTTCCTACCCTGCTCTGTTTGCTGTGACCTGGCAGCACTGCCCTCCTTTTCGCTTCTGCAGTATCTCAGGCCCCTCAAAGGGGCTTTGTGCTTTCTGCTCTCTACTGGGAACACTCTTCTTCTGGCCTGTCACTAAATTCTCAGCTCTAGCATCACCCCCTGTTCCTCCATCCCAGTCATATTCTATCCTGTTGTTCATTTCCTTCAGGATATGTACCACAAACTGAAATGCATTCATTCACTTGTATACCTGATCAGGGATGACTCCACGTACAAGAAGACAGGGTCCATGAGGGCAAGGATGTTGTTTTGTTCCCCACTGTATCCTTAGCAATACAAACAGTGCCAGGCTATTTTAGGTGCTCTAAAGCTATGTAATGGATGAATGAATTAATCCCAGGGTCTTTTTTCCCCCTACCCTATCACTCCAGCTTGTAAAAATAATTATTGTAGAACTGAACGTATGTGGCAGACCAATGAACTGCAAAACAAAAATGCCTGATGATGAATTAACTGGCATACTTAAATCACCTCTGTTATGTTATCAATTGCTGATCCAATTTTACTATTTATTAACACGGCTTGAAGCTGACAAAACCTTTGAGGTAACTTGCCAAGTAGACTGGAACATATCTTTAAAAACAAAATATGAGAATTCACAGATGTCACTTTAAGAATTTGCATTCTGGCTAGGAGGGGCTGTCTCAATGTTGTTTTGTCTTCATCTTCAAATGAGGCATTGCTCTCTTGTGGTCTGTTGCACAAGCCTTGTCTCTGGTGACATCTGCGGTGTGCACATGCTGCCCTGCTGTGGGTCACTCTGTGTCACTCACATTACAGGAACAACGAAACACAAAATGTCTTAGTGACAGGATGGCTGGGGCACACCACAGACAGGAAATGAAATTCACACTTTTGCCAACACAGCAACTGGCTGCTTTACTGAAAGAAAATATTTTAAAAATAAAGTCTAATAGTCTACCTCTTCACAGGGCAAAGTAACAGCCCGGGCACTCTGGAGTTTCCAGTAAACAAAGTAGTTCTCCACACCTACAAAAGAAAGCTATTTGCCAGAGAGCTTAAAACAGCTGAGTATACTCCAGCCATTCCTTTTGTGAGACAAAGATAGTTTCCCTTCGACAAACATTAAGAACTCACTTCCTGGTTTCAGGAGTTCTATAATACTGTTCTTAGAACATTTGCTGCTAATGCTTGAAAACATCTAGCAAAGTGGTTTTTAAAAATGGATTTACTGCTTTTATAAAGATGAGGCCCAGGGGTGGTAAACAAGGCGCACAGGGTTAATTCCCAACAGTGGAAAATCCTCATTATAAAAGATCAGGGGTCAAGCTCATGTGTACTATACAGGGAAAAGAAAGTCTTTTCAACTAAAATGATTTACATAAACCTCAATGAACTTTTCTGATTGAATAACATACTCAGAACAGCTAGGTGGGTCGGGTGTGGGAGGAGGCATGAGGAAACTGCTGTTAGTTGCCACACAGGCCTCCCAGAGAAGTCCTGCAGACATCTTTTCTTCTGTGCCTCCAGACTATGAACTCTGTTACCAAAAAAGGGACATTCTGTGGATCACAAGGGGACTGGGATGAAAATTATCCCAAGCTCTATAAATGCTATCTATCAAAGGTGGGAGGAAAATATGGTGGCATGAAAGTGAAAAAAAAAATTCATAACCATTAGAGTTTATATGGCTTGAACTCAACTTGACAATTAAATGCTTTATTTACATGTCAAAAAAGTTACATATAATTTTTTTAAAAAAATTATTTAATAGGCAGAGATACAGAAACAAAGAGGGAGAAAGAGATCGTCCATCTACTGGTTTGCTCCCCAAATGGCTGCAATGGCCAGAGCAGGGCCTATCTGGAGCCAGGATCCAGGAATTTCTTCCTGGTCATCCATATGGCTACCGCACTTGGGCCATCCTCAACTGTAATTCTAGGCCATTAACATGGAGCTGGTTAGACAGTGGAGCATCCGGGACACAAACCAGCATCCATATGGGATGCTAGCACCACAGGCAGAGACTTAGCCTACTATGCCATGGTGCCAGCCTCAAATTACATATAATTACATATACTTCAGGATAAGATAAGCCTTAAGTTTTGTCTTGCTAGAAAAGTGAACTTGTTTGTGTACATGTCAGTCTTCCTGAAACAGCTGCCTGTAGATTCAACTGACAGGTTGGTCTTTATAATCAGGCTGCTTTACAAAGGCAGGCGAAAACATTTTTCATGCTGCCTGAATTGATTAGTTCTTGAGAGTCTGGTCTGGAAACAAGCTTCCCCAATAAACTCTATGGAGTTGAATGTATGTGATTATAGATGTCTAAGTTAACTACAAATTCAAAAGGACTTCAGAACCTCTATATTAAATGAGACAACATAAAAAGAATACCACTCTGTGGATCTGAAGGCAGAGAATAATTATCTGCATGATAAGAAAACGACACTTAGAGGATCACTTTCCTCACAGCGAGTGACAGTGAAGTTCTCCAGAGTCTTTATCAGAAAACAACTGAAGAGTATCTCCCCCTCTCCTTGTCACAGTACTACTTGCTCAGCATGGGAAAAGTCATCCCAGGGTAGATATATGAAATGAGCTAATAATAGAGTTGACCGGATGCCTACTGAATTCTAACCAGGCACTGAACTACTTTACATTACTTGGTTTAACCTTCATAACGATCCAATGAAGTAGGTACTATTTTTGTTTCCCCAATTTACATGTAAAAGGCTGAGGACTTAAGAGACTGTGGTATAAATTACTAGTATTTGCCCAAAATCATACAGCTAGTGAACCTCAGAGTAAGGATACTATCCAAGGCCTGGCTTGAAAACTCAATGCTTTCAAGATTTCAGTATTTCTCATCCACACTACCTCCATTCAACAAGGCCAGGAACAAAAAGACTATACTCAGGGGATAAAGAACATCTAGCTGAGAGATGCATCCAATTGGGCAGGACAGTAGGGAAAAGAAAAAAAAAAAAGACCTGTAATTTATACAAGGAAATAGTAGTATTTCAGTCTCAAAAATGAAAGCAAAGACACTCTGCTTTAAATATATTTGAGGAAGTACTCTGTGCTATTCCCTTCTGATCAAAATCACTTCCTAAAGCATGGCATTTATTAACTGGCAATTTCTTCTCAAGCAAGGCAGAGAAGGTCAATTAAGGGAAGAAAACACTTAACTGTTCCGTGGT